TGTGATGCCCACCCTGAGGCAGCATGGAATGATATCCGAAAAGCTGTGGAAACAGCAGTGATATCTGCTAGTAAGGTAAACCACAAGGTTAGGGAGCAACACTGGATTTCAGCAGCATCGATCGCACTGATAGATGCTCGGAAACTCATTCCACCTGGCTCTGAACATAATGAAGATCAGAGTCAGCTTAAGCGCAAGCTGACAAAAAGTCTACGCAATGATCGCGAACAGTGGTGGGTAGCGAAAGCAAGAGAAATGGAAAAGGCAGCGGCAATAGGTAATAGCAGACAATTGTTCAGACTCGTTAAGGAAACCGGGGTTAGGAACCCAACCGTTAGCGAAACAATCTCAGAGAAAGATGGACATATTATTCATTCTCAATCCAGGAGATTGGATCGATGGGCAGAACACTTTAGGGGTCAGTTCAACTGGCCTCCAGCCACACTTAGGTTTCCCACGATCTCTAGTCAACCTGAATGGCAAATTAATGTAGGTCCTCCGTCCCTTTACGAAGTTGAAAAAGCCATAGGAAATCTGAAACGAGGGAGAGCAGCAGGCCCTGACAGGTTTACTCCTGAGATTTTTAAGGATGGTGGTCCAGTATTAGCAATGAGATTAACCGAGGTCTTAGGTAGAATTTGGGAACTGGACGTAATCCCATCTGACTGGTCTCAATCACTGATTGTGCCAGTCTATAAGAAAGGACAAAAGTCCTCCTGTGACAATCACAGAGGAATCAGTTTGACTAATATAGTGTCTAAAATATTAGCTTCAATAATACTTCGACGCCTAATCAAAGCTCGTGAAGAGCAGATTAGAGAAAACCAGGCCGGTTTTCGACATGGACGTGGTTGTATAGATCAGATATTCACACTACGTCAGGTTCTAGAACACAGACACACATTCAGACGCCCCACAATGGTAGTATTTCTCGACCTTAAGGCGGCATTCGACTCTGTTGATCGTGAGGTCCTATGGCAGTGTTTGTCACTGAAAGGAGTACCGAAGAAGTACATTAACCTTATAAAGGCTCTCTACTCGAACACAACTGGTAGAGTGAGAGCTTATGGCGAACTGTCATCAGAATTGATTACCTCAAGTGGTGTACGTCAGGGCTGTCCACTCTCCCCATTCTTGTTCAACTTTGTGGTCGACGTACTTTTAGAGATAACACTCTCCTCATCTAAATTTCCAGGGGTTGAACTTCTACCGGGAGGTTCACTTGTTGACTTAGAATATGCAGATGACATAGTTTTATTTGGTGAAGACGCTGACAAAATGCAGAGTCTTCTGACCACTCTAAGCAACAATGCAAGCATGTTCGGGATGCGATTCTCTCCCTCGAAATGCAAAATGTTGCTTCAGGATTGGGTTACATCGACACCCGAACTAGTGATAGGGAGTGAAGTAGTTGAGTGTGTCGATCGCTTCACTTATCTTGGAAGTCTCATCAGCCTTTGTGGTCTGGTTTGTGACGAAATCTCAGCACGGATACAGAAGGCTCGACTAGCTTTTGCCAACTTGCGTCATTTATGGCGTAGGCGAGATATCCGTCTATCAACCAAAGGACGGGTTTACTGCGCAGCAGTTCGTCCCGTCCTTCTTTATGGCAGTGAAACATGGCCGGTAAGAGTAGAGGATATTCGTAGGTTACTAGTCTTCGATCATAGGTGTCTTCGAAACATTGCTCGTATATCCTGGGACCATCGAGTAAGTAACACAGTTGTTAGGATACGGGTACTAGGTAAGGATGGCAAATCAATTGATGAAGTAGTGAAACTTCATCAGTTGAGGTGGCTGGGACACGTGTTACGTATGCCCAACGACCGACTGCCTCGACGTGTTATGTTCAGTGGTATAGGAGTAGGTTGGAAGAAAGCTAGGGGCGGCCAAACCAAAACATGGCACAAGTCCATGAAGTCACTGACAAGTGGACTGAGTCATGTTGGTAGGTGTAGACTACCTGGTTGGGGACCGCGAGATGACAGCAACCGATGGTTAGAGACCCTGAATGACATGGCTCAAAATCGTTTGCAATGGCGCAGGTGCATCCACTCTCTGTGTTCTCCCAAACTCTAATCTTCTGAATTCTTCATGTCCCTTTTTTCCTCTTTCCAAATTTATTTCACTGGATTATACTCTTTAAATAACATCTCCAAACCCTAATCTTCCCGATTACTGCTTATACTCTTATTACCTCTACCACTACGGGATTTGAATCGACAACTGAATCTCTGTGCTAATGTGGTGTGGCAACTCAAACTGATGTACGTACGTACGAAGTTCTACGTTGTTACTGACTGACTGACTGATAATTATTTAACGTGTATACTAAGAAACGATAAATGTTGCAATTTACAGACCATGCCTGTAAAAATGGCATATGCCTGCCATTGCAGAAATATATTATTGTTATTATCTTCAACAAAATACTATTCAAGTATCCGAATTAACGTGCTAACTATGAATCTAGGGAATAACTCAACTTAAAACTGACAGAACTGGACGAGCACAACTAGAAGTAAAATATTTAGAATCCGTGATAAGCGCCCAATCAAGTATAAAGGAATCATCAGCTAGTACAAATAACACAGACACTCATTAAAATCCTTGTAATCACGATTGTACAATCATTCTAGATCCTGTGCAACATAGTGCGTTGGATAACAAGTTCTCTCTTGGGCACTGAGGCCACCCTCTCAGGTCACTAAGACCACCCCAATCCCAATTTCTTTAACAGATACTCCTGGAAGCTTTTAGTCTGGGAAATAAAGATCGATTGTTAGGAGTCCCTCCATAAAGTCGTCAAATAATCGATATAAATACTTTAGTAATCAGATCAGTTTTATACAGCCGTGTATTGACGTCGCTATGTCTAATTTTCAAGTGTACAAAATAAGATAATGCACCAAAAGATGTTTTAAGAGCTAATTGTTATCCAAAAAATTTGTGTATTCCTTGTTGTGTATTATTGAAGATCATACTATTAAAATTCAATTTATATGAATTCCACATTGATTATCTGAATACTAGTTATTAAAATCTAAAGAAATCAATTTGAATCCTACTTCTTTTGATTTTGCTTTCAAACCCAGCAATGACAACAGATGATCGATATCGACAGTTGTTTCCAATTGTACACAAGGAACGGCTAGACATCTAGTTATTTGATGATAACCACCATTGAACACGAGAGTGTTTACTTCGTATAAATTGAGCAACTGCTAAGTCCGATAAAACAAAACAACAATCTATTGGTTACTGATTCGCCATAGGACCGCGAACTGTCACTGATAATAAACATGATTGTAATAAACAGTTTTCATTCATTTTCTAGTTTGAAAATCTAGCACTAGAAAACATAACTTCAAGTGAATTATTCGTTATCAATCAGTGAGTTAATTCCGAAGTATTTAGAAAACCTATGGATCAGCGTTTTTAGAAATTAAATTTTATTCTAGTGAAAATAAGCAATTTTCTATGAAACTCATTAGTGTAATTTTTTCGTCCAGTGAGAATTCGATTTGTTGTGAGGTATATCGCATAAGAAAAACGGAACTAAAGGTTTCACTATGATTTGTTCAGTAAACAGGGGCTCCAAAAGTTCCTAAAGGAGCCGAAGATTTTCTACTTAATCAAATTTTGATGGTCTGAAGAATATTAACGTGGCATGCTATGAACGGACAGTACCATTGTGGTGTGTGCTACTGATGTCGACAGATATAAGTAGTATGTATAATCAATCGAAAGTGAAATGTTTGGCAACGGGAGGTTAAGAAGAGTTAAGGAAAGAGGGCGAGAACAAAGAGTGATTGCAGTAGAAATTGAAGGAAGAGTGCAGTCTGAGACAATTGAATGACATTTTTGTTGATTAAGCACTTACTGTTTGGTTCTCAGATTTTGATAAGAAGTCCTGTAATTCATTCCATTGTCCCCACTTGTGTTCTCATTCACTACAGCAAACTTACCTCCTTGTGGATTGGCTGAATTATAATGATGTTATAGCCAACGCTAATAACTATAAATACACATGTTTTTTGTACATTTTTGATTCTTACTCAACAACCATTTTTTCTGCTTCTTGTGTCTTCTTATTTGCGACTGTGGGGGTTCTATACGTTCGAGTGCTATTAGCTGTATATAGTATTCTGCGTTAATCAAGTACCGAACGTAACAATGGACTCAAATATTAATTAGTTTTATAGAGGCTTGTAAATTCAATATTAATAGTGTACCTAAATGGACAATCGGTAGATCCAACTTCTGAACATGCATATGGGCCTAAAAGTTTATAGAAACTTAGTTTTATCAGGATAAACACAAGCACTTACTATATCACGATGAAAGTTCGAGAAATCAAATGTTATTGAGTCATTTTCCCAATCTAGATGAAATGATGAGTGGTTAGTCTATATTTTAAAAATAGTTCTGCTTTACAGTTGTTGTATTCGGATGAGAACAGTGAATAGACCAACACTATATGTCTACTTTTATCGTATAATTGTTCAGTAACTAAACTATCCATATTCGTGTTCCTCTTATTATGAGCTTTAATTTGGCTCATAAACTATTATTGTACGATTTACCGTTCTTGAATTATGCCCAGCATATTGATTAGTCTTCCTCATTCACAGCCACAATTGGCTAAATCTTGTATAAATGTCGTTCCCTATTTTATGGTACGATTTGGTCTTGAAATAAACGATTCACATCGCGAGGCTGAGATTGGTGTTCTGGACATACCTGGCTGGGCTAGGCGGGAAGCAGGACCAATAAGTACTCTAGACTGCTTGCACGGGTTTTATGCGTCATTGGTCCGATAGATAAATCACTGCTCTCTAATTGTCAGTGTCGTTAAGTTATACATTAATAGGATACAGGGCACAAGTTATAACAATAGTATAAACTAAAGGTCATGTCTGAGATGGGTCTACCAAATAGAATTTCATTTATGTTAGTACGTCCATCAACTATAATTAATTATAACTTACCACCTCATCTTTTCTTACATGAACGTGGAACTTAACAGATGACACATGTTATATGCACTTGGATTGTAATCGACATAATAATTCACTACTGTATAATTCAAGCACAACATAAATATCCATTGAAATAATATTTATTATGAATCTATAATCGTAGAATCTGATGAAGATATTATGAACAATTGTACCTTTAAATATTCCTTGTCTTTGGAGTAGTGTGTAAAGAATTTTAGATAAATTGTCACTACTTTTAAAAATTTAACTTTCATAAGAAAAAAAAACAATTATGAAACTGATTTCAATCTTTATTAATAGAATAATGTTACCAGTATAGGTAATAATAAAGATAATAGTGATAATAATAATAATATCACTAGGAGTAATATTAGTGGTAATAGTAGTAGTAGTAGTAGTTGTTGTTGTTGTTGTTGTTGTAGTAACAATACCATCAACAGCTAAATTTAATAGTGAATACACAATAAAACAAATTCAATAACTTGAACAAAAAAGACAAGTATTTATCATTAATAAAAAACAATGATGAAAATTATAAGGATATTGAGAATATTATCGCTTAGGTGTTAAAAGAAGAAAAAGTAAATAAATGATGATAATAATAAACAAATGACAAATACTAAATCCGATAACAAAACAAGTAAATAACTAAATGCCTTAATTTAAAAATAATGAAATAAGCCGTAATGATAGAGATGAAATTGAAGTAAATAAATATAGATCACAAAATAATAAACATGGATAATTCATTAGGTTAACGTCGACCACTGTGTGTTGGTAGAATTACTGGAGGTGGTGAAAATGTTTTTAAAATTGATTCACATTGTATGTTACGCGTATAACTGGAAGATCGATTAGGATTGCATGGAGTACAGTTGGTACAACTAGTATTAGTTGTAACACTGGAGATAATCTTACTGTTTGAACTGATCACATTAGCTGCGACATTCTGATTTAAACAAACTGTACCATCTTGTGATAAGCATGTTTGTGATTTATTCTTTGATTCAGATCGTTTCAATGATGCTTTCGAACTAAACATAGAAAGAGGTAAGCTTTGTCGAGACAACTCAAATATGGAAGCATCTGTTATATGTGAGTTTTGTTCTTGTCTTGAATGCATGCCCGATGATGATGTGGATAGAAATGATGTAGACGGCTTTTTAGGATATTGGAAATGTTGTAATAATGTTCGGCTTTCAACTGGTGACAGAATACCTTGACCACCTATTTGACATTCATTTTTAACAGAGTCCACTAATTTTAAACATAGAGAAAAGAAAAATCAGAAAGTGCAACGATTAGTATAACTTAAATTACAGTGCATTACTGAAGAGAACTGGAAATAGTAAACGAAGTATTTAGAACGTTAACTCCGCCTGTAGCTCTTTTAGAGTCACTGCCGGTCTCAAGCCCGGGTAAAGGAGGAGGGTTGGGCATGGGGTTAGCAACCCCATCTCGAAGAAAACTAAATCGCCAGAAAAACGCTAACCAGAAAAAATAATTCAAACTACTTAAACTCTGCCCTGGGAGTTAGAAGGTCTTCATTTAAAAGACTTATGACGCCTTATGGTGAAAGCCGAGCTCCTTCGGAAGCCATGAGATCGATGCCCCTTCTAACAAATAGAGCAACAATTTTTATAGGTACATAAAACGTCCGAACAATATGGGAGACCGGGAAGACCAGTCAAATAGCAACGGAAATGAGGAGATACAACTTGTTAGTAATGGGAATCAGCGAAACCCATTGGACCCAAGGCTAAATACGGGAGAGATGCTGCTATACTCCGGTCACGAAGAGGAAAATACTCTACACATTCAGGGAGTTGCTTTAATGCTGTCCAAAGTAGCACGAAATGCACTTGTAGGATGGGAATATCACGGATCCACAATCATCAAAACATCATTCAAAACAAAGAAGGAGGGGATCACAATGAATATTATCCAATGTTATGCACCCACCAATGATAGCAACGACGACATTAAAGATTAATTCTACGAGCCGCTGCAATCAATCATAGAGAAGTGTCCAAGAAAAGACCTCACCATTCTGATGGGAGATCTAAATGCCGAAGTCCGAATAGAGAACAGCGGATATGAAGATATCATCGGACGATATGGACTGAGTGAGAGAAACGAAAATGGGGAAAGATTTGCAAATCTGTGTGCACTCAACAAATTGGTTATGGGAGGCACAATATTTCCACACAAACGTATACATATAGGTACATGGATCTCACCGGACCACACCACAGAGAACCAGATAGATCATATTTGCATCAATAAAAATTTCCGAAGGACAATCGAAGATGTGAGAACCAAGAGAGGAGCTGACATAGCTTCAGATCACCACCTAGGTGTGGCTAATTTATAACTGAAGCTAAAGAAGAACTGGACAACTGGTCAATCAGCAATACAACGTTTCAATACTGCCTTCCTTCGAGATACTGACAAAATCAATGAATCCAGCCCCCAAGTGCCCTGGTACGGCCGAGAGTGGGGAGAGTCCGCTCTCCCTCTCGAAATGCTCTCACATGGCCACGCGTATATAGCCTCTGCCACGGAAGTCCTACTCACTGCATTCTCGTGGCAGGTGTTGTTTACGAAAATGGGAGGACGAAGAGCGAATGTCCGGTGCTTTAACCGGATTCCAAACCAATGGTGCACATGGGCTACAGTATCCTGAGGGAACAAATGGCGTATGAACCGATTGCTGGTCACCGGCTACCATGGGAGTGCATCTCCTTACGATGCTCCACTGCCTTGTGGATCAGACCTTCAGGTCGAAGGCTTGGGGTGTGGCCCCCTAGGAAAACCACCTGCCTCGGTTTGGGCACCCGGGCAGTATCCCAGCCTTCACACATATCTAATGAGATTTGTACGGCACATATGTATTTGGTGCCTCCCTGTACCAATATCTATGTGTTAAGATAATAATAATACAATGAATTCAAGATAGCTCTCAACAACAGGTTCTAATGAAAGAAGAAGAAACTAGTATGCAGGACAACTGGAAGGGTATCAAAGAAGCATTAACTTCAACGTGTCAAGAGGTTCTGGGCCTCAAGAAGCATCATGATAAGGAATGGATCTCTACAGAAACACTAGACAGGATCAAAGAAAGGAAAAACAAAAAGACAGCAATTAACAACAACCGAACACGAGAAGACAAAGTCCAAACACAAGCTGAATACATAGAAGCAAACAAGCAAGTGAAGAGGAGCATTAGAGCCGGCGAGAAGAAATACGTGGAAAAACTAGCAACGACGACGGAAAAAGCTGCAAGAGAAGGAAATATGAAACAGCTTTACAATACAACGAAGAAACTAGCAGGGAAATATATTAAACCAGAGAGACCGGTCAAAGACAAAGAAGGCAAGACAATCACCGAAATTCAACAACAGTGTAACAGATGGATAGAGTACTTCGAGGAACTCCTGAATAGGCCGGCTCCAACGAATCCACCGGATATCGAAGCAGCACACACAGATCTTCCTATAGATGTCAATCCACCAACGACGGAACAAATCAGAATGGCCATCAGACAAATGAAGAGCGGGAAAGCAGCAGCACCCAACAATATACTAGCTGAAGCACTGCTGTCAGACATCGAAGTAACTACAAACATGCTTCACTTTGTATTCAGGAAGATTTGGGAGGAGGAACAACTGCCGATGAACTGGAAAGAAGGACACTTCATCAAGATTCCAAAGAAAGGAGATCTGAGCAAATGTAAAAACTACAGAGGCATTACACTACTGTCAGTACCAGGGAAAGTCCTTAACAGAGTATTGCTGAACTGGATGAAAGACGCAGTAGACGCCCAACTTCGAGATCAACAAGCTGGATTCCGTAGGGATCGGTCGTGCACAGACCAAACTGAGACAATACGGATCATCGTCGAACAATCAGTTGAGTGGAACTCGTCATTGTATATCAACTTCATTGATTATGAAAAGGCATTTGACAGTGTAGATAGAAGAAAGTCATGGAAACTTCATCAACACTACGGAGTTCCTGAGAAGATTGTCAACATTATCCGGAATTCATACGACGGACTATAGTGCAAAGTAGTGCATGGAGGACAGCTAACAGATGCATTCCAAGTAAGGACCGGAGTCAAACAAGGCAGCCTACTCTCTCCCTTCCTCTTTCTTCTGATGGTCGACTGGATTATGAAGACCTCGACATCTGAGGAAAAACACGGAATACAATGGACAGCTCAGAATCAATTATACGATTTGGACTTCGCAGATGACTTAGCCCTCCTATCGTATACACATGAACAAATGCAGATAAAGACAGCCAGTGTAGCAGCAGTCTCTGCATCAGTATACCTCAAAATACACAAGGGGAAAACCAAGGTCCTCAAATACAACACGTAGAACAGCGATCCAATCACTCTTGATAACAAAACTCTGGAAGATGTAGAATCCTTCACATACCTGGGAATCATCATCGATGAACAAGGAGGTTCAGATGCAGACGTTAAGGCGAGGATTGGCAAAGCAACGACAGCATTCCTTCAATTGAAAAACATATGGAACTCAAAACAACTTTCAACCAACATCAAAGTCAGAATCTTCAATACCAACGTCAAGACGGTTTTACTGTACGGAGCTGAAACTTGGAGAACTACCACAACCACCATCAAGAAGGTACAAGTATTTATAAATGGTTGTCTACGCAGGATACTCAAAATCCATTGGCCGGATACCATCAGCAACAGACTTCTGAGAGAACAAACCAGCTTCCAGCTGAAGAAATTAGGAAAAGACGATGGAAATGGATATGACATACATTACGCAAACGGTCGAACTGCATCACGAGGCGAGCCCTAACTTGGACTCCTGAAGGAAGTGGAAGAGAGGAAGGTCAAAGAACACATTACGTCGGGAAATAGAAGCAGACATGAAAAAGATGAATAACACCTGGAAAGAGCTGGAAAGGATTGCCCAGGACAGGGTTGGATGGCGAATGCTAGTGAGCGGCCTACGCTCCTTCACGAGGAGTAACAGGCGTGAGAAAGCAAATAATTTAAAATGTTAACCATAGAACTGAATAATATTTTAAGAGATCTAAATTATTATTCATAAACAAATCAGATGATCGATAAGCGTTTCATCTTATTTGGGACTCGTCGGCTGGATTTACCTGCATCTCAGAGTTGATGTTCACTCTGGAACTCGAACCCAGTACCGTTCACTTCAAACGCCATCGAGTTTTTCACTTAGCTACTGAGTCCTGATAGCCAACTGTTATGCGGTGCAATGCGGTTAAGTTATATTTACTTGGCGTTGTTTATTTGTAAGTTCCCATTGTTATTTAGGACTGCGATTGATCAGTCTCTTACTGGCAGATGTGCAGCCTGTGCGGACTGCCTCGATATTGTGAACATCAACTCTGAGATGCAGGCACATCCAGTTGTCGAGTCCCGAATACGACGAAACGCGCTTTCCCCATTCCACTGTTAGCCACTATCGATCTTTGCTTATAAAGCTTGTGACTTCAGGCAATATCGAGGCAGTCCGCACAGGATGTACATATGCCAATAAGAGACTGATCAATTGCAGTCCTAAATAACAATGGGAAGATACAAGTAAACAACACTAAGTGAATACAAAATTAAATGTTTATAACTACAAGGAAAGTTTGTAGTATTTATCCTTCCTCTGACAGATGGATATTGAACACTGTATTCGTTATTAGATACCAGAAGGGGAATCAAATCTTTTGGTGATCGGAATTTGCGTTTCTTGGTCGATATATTTCGATTAATGTTAGCTAAAATAAGATGATGTTTTAAAAGAAAGTATAGGACAACGAAAGTATGGTATTAATCTATGTAGCCTGAGATTGTAAACTTTTTCAAATTACAATCAAACTACGTTAGGTGCTAACTCTAAGGCTTCTGAATAAATAATTAGTACTGATATATAGTTGGGCTAGTAATTTAGTTGACTAAATAATACGACAGTTTAATTTTGATTAAAATCTAAATATGGTTAAATTAAATTCCCAGTTAATCAACAAAAGAAATATTCAATCCCCATTTCATTATTAAACGATAAGCAGAACAAGTGTTTACTGCTTTCAAGGACCACTCATTGCGTACGTATGAAAGCATAGCCTAATTCAACTCACGTGAACAATTTAATATCTAAAGTTTTTAGAAATATCAACCATGTGGAAATTGAACACACGATCTGATAGCATAAGCATGATATGTGAATGATAAACTAGACTTGCGATTTAGTTATTAAAGAAAGTATCTAGAAATAGTTCAATTATTGATTTCATCTATTACAAGTGTGTTAAACGTAAACAATATCGTATAAAAAATAAACATTAGCTTACATGTTCGATAACTAGGATGTGTCCATGAACTAGCGCAATATGCTTCAATAACTTGTAAAATTTTTGTATCATCCGCCGTTCGAAGTTCATTTTCATCTAATCATTGAAAAAAAAACAGGATGACAAACGAAAGGAGTCATAAACTAAATTAATTTATTCATTGATTAGCTTAGCACGACTCACATTTGAATCAAATTAAAGAAAATGAGATATGTACGAGAAGATGAAATGAACAAATAAAGACAAACAACATATTTACCACGAACAAATCAACTAGTGAGTAAGTAGGCAAAGTCAAGCATTTGATTGAAGGGATTAAATACGAAGGGAAATATAATCGGATTTACAAAAAAAGCATATATACATATATATCATGAGAAGCTCTATGATAATTAAAGTGTGTAACTGTAGTGAACAAGAACACGAGTTGGGACAATCGAATGTATTTGAGCACAAAATTACAGAACTTCTCACTAAAATCTGAGAACCATACAGTAAATAGTTAATTTGCAAAATATCAATCCCTTGTCTCAAAGGTGACTGTTCCTTTTGTAAATATCAGTCCATCGTCTTAGATTTAACTGTTCATGCATTTTTATACTAATTGCTTTCCGCTCCCGTTCTTTCCTACCCGATTTTCTACTAAAATACATTGTATTCCTGACCATCGTTATATACTACTTATGTGGATATAAGTAGCGCACACCACATAGCCAATAAATTTATTTGTGACCAATCTCCCAACATTTTATCGTTAACAAGAATTTTAGCTGTGTATTTATCACTTAATAATTAATAATGAAGTTGGAAGATATAATCCAATTCGAAATAGAAAAAAGAAGAATATTATAAAAGTAATCTATGTGCGATACGAAAAAAAGTTATCCAAGATACTTATCTAAATGTCTTTGAGATTGTCGCCATAACAACATAAACACAGACAGACAGAAAGTCTGACATACTACACTGTACAAAAGTGAAATGATCTATTAAGCTATACTTGACACGTTAAGAAGAAAATCTATCGACTAAATGACAACTATACTAAATCAATTAATGATGAAGCGATAGCGATAAGAAAAACATAAACCAGATCTAGGTATTCAAAAAGAGACAGTAATAAATCTATTAACTCTAAAATGATCACACCATTTATCTCAACTGTCTCTAGAATCCACCAACTTGGTTCTAACACTTAGTAACCTCTGACCTGTTCTTGCATATATATATATATATATATATATAGTTATCATTGATAACATTTGTCATTGCAATCATTTACATTCATTTATGTCAATTGTTCCATGCTATTTCTTATTTATTTATTTGAACACATAAATATTGGTACAAGAGAGCGCCAATATATATGCGCCACACAAAACAATGGGAATTCGAAGGGAAGTAGAAAGAAAGAAAAAAAACAACTAAGGAACGCAAAAGAAAAAGAGAGTAATGACGAAGAGGTACAATCAGAAGAAATCTTTCAGGTAAAGGAGACACAACCACTTTTTATGAAGAAAGTAAAAGAAGGGTACAGCAGGATCGCCACTGGCTTCTATTCTGAGCCATATCTGATAACGTCTCTAGCCACTGTGTAGCACCATCTCTCGGACCCCAACCAGGGAGTCGTAAAGGACCAACACAAGCCAGTACTTTGCAGCTTTCTTTCATGCCACGACACCATGTCATGCACTGACCACCTCTCCGCTTCTTCCAACCAGTCCCAGCGTCGGCAAACAATGCACGACGTGGAATCCTCTGGAACGACATTCGTAGAACATGTCCAAGCCACCGAAGTCGGTGTTTCAAGATGGTGACACCAATTGAATTATCATCTCTGTGTTCGAACACACGATGCCGAACCTCTGCATTACTGACATGGTGTTGCCACTGAATGTCAGCAATCCTTCGGAGACAACGATGATCGAACACAGAGAGTCGTCTAACGTCCTCAACTCGGAGAGACCAGGTTTCACAAGCATAGAGCAAAACTGCCCTCACCGACGCGTCGTAGATCCGACCTTTTACGGCCAGACTAACATCATGAAGGCGCCATAGATGGCCCAGATTGGCATAAGCCGCTCTGGCTTTCACTATACGTGTATTGATCTCATCACTCACACCCCCACCAGCACTTATGCAGCTACCCAAATACACGAACTTCTCAACTACGTCTATCTGCTCACCGTCCAGGGTGAGTACAGGATTAGAATACTGCCAGTCTTGTAGAAGTACTTTGCACTTCGAAGGTGCAAAGCACATACCATACCTACGGACATTGATTGCCAACTGATTAAGTGCGGATTGCATGCCTTGGGCATTATCGCACAGTAAGACAATATCGTCCGCATACTCAAGGTCGAGAAGTCTTTCTCCAGGCAACAGATCCACACCACCATTACTTACATTCATCAGAGCTGTTTCCAGAATGTCATCGATGGCAAAGTTGAAGAGGAATGGTGAGATTGGGCAACCCTGCCTAACCCCACTGCTCGAATGGAACAATGGAGAGAGGTGGTTGTATGCCTTCACTCTGCCTGAGGTGTTTTTATACAGGGCTTTTAGGATGTTAATAAACTTCTCAGGCACACCATTCTTCAATAGACAATCCCAGAGAACAGTCCTATCCAACGAATCGAAGGCAGCCCTGATGTCAAGAAACACTACGATTGTTGGCCTTTGAAAAGTATGGCGGTGTTCTAACATTTGGCGGAGGGTGAAGATATGATCAATACATCCTCGACCAGAACGAAACCCAGCCTGCTCCTCGCGAGTCAATCTTTCTCGGGTTTTGAACAACCTACGAAGAATGACGGAAGCCAATAGCTTGGACGCAATCGGAAGTAAACTTATCCCCCGATAGTTGTTACAAGAACGACGTGAACCCTTTTTAAAGATAGGGACAACTATCGACTCATTCCATGACGTTGGTACACTCTCTAGTTCCCAAACCTTTGTAAACAACGTCGTCAATTCCTTAGTCAAAAAGTCACCACCATCTTTAAAAGAGCCGGAGGTAAGTGATCTGGACCAGGTGATTTGTAACGCCTCAAGAGTTGGAGTTCCTTGCGGACTTCCTCCTCATTTGGTGGATCAGTCGTCACCGGCCATGGAGGGCAGGACAGTCTGACCGATGTTGCCGGAGCAGCAGGCCAGTTGAACTGCCCTTCGAAAAATTCTGCCCATCGTCCAAGACGTCGATGGATGTTAGTGATTGGCATCCCATCATCCTCGCAGATTGTTTCACTCACACCAGACTTCTTGCTGCCAGTGGCTCGGATGAGTTGGAAGAGCTTCCGGTAGTTACCAGATGCAGCTGCTGCTTCCAGCTCATTAGCACGCATCGACCACCAGGCTTCTCGGTCCTTACGCAAGCTTTGCCCGATTTCCTTACATAGCATCCTTCGTTTATGGTCAAACTCACGGTCACCCGGAGTAGACCGACGGGCTTCAATGAGTTGTAAGGAACCTGCAGAAACCCAGTGCTTAAAAGCGGGACGTTTCGCAAACCCACAACTGACTGTTCCCGCCATTTTCATGGCGTCATGCAATTGCAACCAATGCTCATCTATACTTTTCGGTGGAGTGGTAGCTAGCCTAGAAGCTAGCTCAGTTCGATACTTACTTGCAACAGAAGTTGCAACCAGCTTGCTAACATCAATCCGTTGATGGCGTTCACTTCGTTGTCCACTGAAAAGTAAGGCAAGATTGGCGCAGACCAAGGCATGGTCAGAGTCCAGATAGGTACTCCAAAAGGAGCGGAAGTCTTGTACACAACCACGCCAGCGGTAGCTGATCGCGATGTGATCAATCTGAGTCCAGGCTTGAGATGCAGATGGAGGACGCCAGGTGGCACATCGGCGATGACTGTGCCGAAAGTTAGTGCTAGCCAGAAACAGGTTGTGGTCTGTGCAAAGTTGCAGTAGACGGTCCCCGTTATCTGACCTGCGACCAACGAGTCCCCATCGGCCACCTAAACGACTCTCTTCTGTGCCTAGACGCCCGACCTGAGCATTCAAGTCTCCGGCTAGTACTACAATATCTGTCGAACGCACTTTCTGGAGAAGAACTGATAACTGGTGGTAAAACTCATCCTTGATTGCATCCGGGCTGCAATCTGTCGGGGCATAGGCGGAGATGACGAAAAGACATAGTTTCTCATGCCGATTTCTTCTCACTTTGATGGAACTTTCTAATCTAACAGCACATAACCGACTGTTAATGGGGATCCAATCGACTAGTGCTGCCTCAGCTCTAGCACTTAGTGCGACACCAACGCCAGCAAGACCAGACGAAGATGCCACAGGGTCCCCGGATAAGCGCACGTAAAACAAGCTTTTCGAAGCGACAGATGGAGATCGAATTTGTAGTACTTCGCCAGAGTCTTGAATACGGGTCTCGGATAGACAACACACGTCGATATTAAGACTTTCCAAAGACATAGCCAGCCCTATCTGTTGTCCGACCTGCATAAATGTGCGAACGTTGAAGGCAGCCAGTTTGAATGATGCACGTGGTTTCAGAAAATCTGCTTCAGTCCTCGTATTCGGTGGTAACATACAATTTTCAACCGGACAGTGACTCGAGAACGTTTAGATACAGTCGGAATTCCACCAAAGACGAGCCGCTGTATAAGTATAAAAGAAGGTGAATAATGTGGAAAATAATAATAATAATGATGATAATAACAATAATGACAATAATAGTAGTAATAATAATATTAGTATTAATAATGACAATAATTGTAGTGATCATAATTTGAATCAATTGATTGTTTTTCAAAGCTATTTCTTATCTCTATGTAAAATTCTAATGCATATTATTTTGTAAGCAGCTGATGAGAAACCACGAAATATGATGAATTCATATTATTCTGCATCAATATTTTCTTCTGGCTTTATTTAAATTCATAAAGGGAACTAATTGCACGAAATGATGATTTAGTTATTCTATGTACTATACATGACTCTTTTCAACAGCTTTATGGTAAAAATTAAACTGTGGTCAAATAGCGCTTAGCAAAATATTGAGTTCTGATATACTTCATCTTAATTTAAGGAATGAGTGGATATAATTGTAATTTGAATAATGATTAATCAAATATAACTTAAGGGATCTAATAACGCTTTTAAACAAAACAAAAAAGTAGTAGTAATCACATTTGAGAAACGTGAATTCACTAACATTGACGAAATAAACCCATTTAATTTAACTTGATACATTTGAAAATATCTCGTCTGACTTCTAAAAAGGTTGATGATCATAAGCTAGTTTAATCATGACAAATTCATTACAATCATAACTTGAATCTAATTAAAAGAATTGAACTTTGTAAGTGGATGCATAAACAAACTAGTACATACAAGAATAGTTATAGTTAAAAGCCAGTTTGTATTTAATACAGAAATACAAAAAAAGTAGAAGACAATAAATTGAAACACTTCAATTATAATTATAAAACAATACATGAACATTATGATTTACGGATTTTTCCAGTTGAACGTAATACATCTTCTACAGTGATAGCACTTTTCTGACGATCTAAATTAAAATTTAACATCACATTACAATTATATATATATATATATATATATATATATATATATATATATATATATATATATATTTCTAATAACCGTGTCCTATACATATATGCAGTAGATTGATAGTTATTACTTCACATATACATGAAAAATGTAAAACTAGAGGTATGAAAAAGTGGTACACAAGTAGAGTATTATTATTATCTCGAGGACATAGCATATGAATTCAAACAAAACACATCAGAAACAGAAAGCTAATCAGAAGTAGCATGATGAGAAGATCAATCAATGGCAATCAGAAGTGACCTAAAAGTCAGGTTTATTTCATTGGCTAACGAGTGGATGAATTTCCTAAGGATTAGAGCGGTGTTTATATGAGTATTTATCCATTTTATTCGATCGTCGAAAACATTTCCTCGTTCAAGTAGTCATTTCGGGGATTAGCGCGTAGTATACCATGTACCAGTATAAGTTTTCCGACACCACTCATCACAACGACATCTTTTTAAAATTTTTCTCAGAGGAAATGACTAGTTACATATGCACTTGTCACCAATGAATGGAGAAATAAACTAAATGGAAAATTGAGGCAAACTCGTACATTAAAAGTATGAAGTGAAGAATAACTTACTATTACATAAAAATTGTACAGTTCCTAAAGGGAATATATGTATATATCCATTTTCATTCGTAAGTTATTGAAAATAAGAGACGAAAGCTTAATTTTATGCATAATAAGCTAATTAATTTGATGTCATGTTGTAGATTACAACAGTTATTTGCGGTAGCACATTATTTTTTTCTAATTCACCCTTAGTGAGTCAGTAAGCATCTCTTATAGTGCTTCAAAACAAGTCAACATACAGTCAATACGTTGCCGTATTTTGGCGCATTTGATCAACAGTGGTCATGCTGCAGATAGAACTAAAGCATTTAGGCTTATTTATGATATTTTGTTCCATATTTCTAGAGTAGTTTTCACCTATATTCCATAAAAATTGATAAATACAAGGATATGAGAAAACAGTCTTAATCTTTGTATTCAAGAGACGTATAGTGTCTTCACCCCTTATGTAATTAAAGAAAATTTAATAAATGATCCAACCAACTGTTTACCCATTTAATCAACCTCTTTCCGTGTCTCTACAATAATTTCGGTTTTAAATATTGTTAACGAAATGGTGGATTTGTAACTCACGTGAATGATTTAGGTGGAATTTTGTTTTCTGAGATGGATGAAGAACAATGAAAGCTTCAAGAACAAATCATCCAGCTCAGAGAACAAAACTCCACCTGAAACACTGCTTATTCATATACAATATATCATTTAGTAGTTTCTCTCTCTTAACATATTTGTTTTGTTTATCATGATAACCTTGTATGTGTTATTACCTTCTGCATACTGCACACTAAGTTAAAAAGTGAGAGGGATCAACGGGGATGCATTATCATTTTTTATACGTCAGGTATATTTTAGAATTGATTATACTTAGTAGTTTAAAAAAACAAATTCACTGTGTCATACATCTCTATAAAGGATGCATAAAATATTATAGAAAAAAGTTAGTAAGTTCGAAGTTGCTTAAGCACAAACGTACTCCCATAATGCGAACCCTATCAGCCTAGTCAAAAATTGTTTAAATTCTCCACAAACAAGATGAAAAGAGAGGCCAGATGCCCAGTAAGTAACGCTCAAAGCCGATTTCTGATGAATAACTTTTAAAATCCTAAAATCCCGATTCATATGGCAAACAAAACAGCTAATGATAAACAGGCTTAATAAGACTATGAATATTACTGAATATTTATTGGTTCAGTTAAAACTCATACTGTTATGTATTATTTTCATGTCAAAAAGTTTAGTTTACTCTATGAGCAGACAGTGTAAAAAACCATATGGTTAGTGAAGTAAATATTCAGTTATACATTATATCTGCTAGCATAATATGAACAATAAGATTTATGGATCAAAGATAAATGACAGTAAACAAATAAGTTTATAGAAAAGCAATTGATTAACATACCACCACGTTTACGACGTGATTCCTTACTTGAATCGGTAACCTTAGGACTTTGAGCTCTCACACGGTTGTGTTGATTTTTGTGCGAAATAGAAAAATCTAGCAACAGACCAGGAATATTCTGATCAATAAGCAATCCCAAATTATTTAATGCATTAACTGAACCGATTCTATCGTCTTTATTAAAATCTAGTGGACCATCGACACGAAGACAATGAATTGCATGAATTAAGTCATTATCAGATGATAATTGTTCATTATTTTTATAAGGAATAATACCAGGCAAATCAATCGATGTTGAATATGACTGTCGTGTACCAACTATCGATTTATCAATATCTAAACGGAAAATATATATATTCATATGAATAATAAGTTTCGTGGTGTTTATTTAATGTCATTGAAACTGTATTAATACAGAAGAAATTTTCCTTACGGAAAAGACACCACACAAATATAAAACTGAATTAAAAATAAAGCAAACTTAGTTAAATTTGGTCATGTCCAATTTGGTGATGAATACTTATTGTAGAAACTTTGTAAACACATGTCACGCAACTAAAGAGGTCAGTCAGCTACAACGTAGGACCAGGCACATATATGCATCGGTCCAAGTTACCATACCTCATTAACACAACAAGATGGACACCGGATTCATAAAAGTAGTTAATTCAGAGGTGGTAATATATACAAGAAAGATTGCAATAAGGATATAGTACAGGAAGAAAGAATTAGTTCGTAGAAAGAAAGATATGAAGCAATTTTAATCTCTTAGTCTAAGGGAAGACAGAGAGTGTATACACCGACGCCATTGTGATCGATTCTAAGCTATGTCACCAAGAGTCTCCAACCATTGATTACGATTGTCACGCGGACCCCAACCAAGTAGTCTGCATCTACCAACATGGCTCAGACTAGAAGTTAGTGACTTCTAGCACTGATGCCACGTTTTGATTTGGCCGCCCCTAACTTTCTTCCAACCATCCCGAACACCGGTTAGCATTGCACGTCGTGGTAATCGGTGTTCAAGCATACGTAACACGTGGCCCAACCATCTCAGTCGATAAAGATTCACAACCTCATCAACTGATTTACCACCATTCCCTAATATCCTGCGTCTAACCTCACTATTACTTATCCGGTGATCCCAGCAGACGCCAGCAATATTTCTAGGGCATCTGTGGTCAAGTACTAGTAGCTTACGAGTATTTTCTACTCTTAATGGCCATGTTTCGCAGCTGTAAATAAAAACAGAACGAACTGCCGCGCAGTATACTCGTCCTTTTATTGATAGACGGATATCTCGCCTTCGCCACAGGTGACGTAAGTTGGCAAAAGCCAAACGAGTTTTTCGAATCCGTGTTGAGATTTCATCAGACACCAACCCATTAGGGCTGATCAGACTTCCAAGATAAGTGAAGTTGTCAACGCGTTCGACTACTTCACTACCCATCCTTAGTTCAGGTGTTGACGCAGACCAGTCCTGAAGCAACAACTTGCATTTAGAGGGAGAGAAGCTCATTCCAAACATTCTAGCATTGTTGCTCAGTGCAACAAAAGAGGACTCTGCATTTAAATTCATCTACAAGGTAAATAGAAGGTTATCAAAGCCACTTATATTCCATTTTCTTAACGTTGACGAACCAATAGCTATACATCTACAAGAACCAAAATTGTGTCCAAAACAAAATGGTACAACCTCTTCGAAACAGTAGATTCTGAATGCAAAGAACTTACCAAACCAGAGAACATGGGCATTAGTAGCAATTCTATGCGGCAAAAAACGTAAGCCTGAAGATGATGTTAATACATCTGAAGTTAGAACCACTGTGCAGGTATTATCCACTGGTGTGAAGATTTGTTTTGATTGAGGGTCAATAACGGATGACTGATGATGTTGACTTTCATTGTTTAGTTCTTCAGCACATATATTCGATGGTTCAGTTAATGGTCTAGGAGCTTTACTTTTTTTCAATGATGAAGAGAAGCGACGTTTATTATCATCATTATTGTTAGTCGAATTGCTGATGAAATTATAAATATCTGTGATTTTTACAGCATTATCATTATTGACAAAGGATATTTTAGAAATATCTTTTGTGTAAGTGTGTTGAACAGCCAAATTGTCAGTGGAGTCAGGAGGAAAATTGAAACTTTGAGGATCTTTCATTGACAATGTCGACATCAGCAGTGTTGATTGATGCTGATCAATCTGATTATTTTCATCTCTTGTTATTTTTGATGATGATTTTAACTTTTCATTCTAGAAAGCAGGTAAAACACTTATTAGAAGGATAGGAAATACCAAAGAGATCTGATTCACTGCCCAAAGTTAACATAAAAACAAGACTCAATAACTTTTACTGAAGTCCCATTCTTTGCCCTGGTTGATTTAATAGTGAAGCTTTCAATATTTTTCTGAAAAACACTATTAACATAAACTTCAGGTGGAAAATGACAGAAAAAACACCAACAATAACCAATCAAGTTTGAGATCGACAGGACAAGCTGTCAGTCATATATGGAGAAATTCAAGTAAACCACTTTTAACTGAAGTCGGTGCTGCTAGCGTTGATCATTCAGCACAGAAGATAAGACTCCACTAAAATCATCCATTTATGAAAAAATACAATGAGAAACAACTTCAATTTTAGGAAAAATATACTGGGATAATAACTCTGAACAGAAAAAATTCTCATCTTCAAACATTAGGACATAACTACTGATGTATTAGAACCATGGTTGCTGTGATTATCCGGTAGACACGTTGTTAATCTAACTCTTTTTGTCACGTTTGTCGTTCTTGAGTACCGCATATTTTTGGATATCAGAGACTTTGACAATTCCTGTTATTCGGATGAAATCTGCTCTATCTTTAGAATGTTCAAATATCAAAGTTAAATAAAATCAAGTCATCCGCCACCTACATAGAGATCTTTAAGGCTAGTAAACGAATTGCAAAAATATACAACCTAATTAAAACCTTATTTATTTCACTCTGAGCATCCGTTCAACGATAGGATTTACTGTATACACAGTTATACACAAAGTTTTTAAAGTTCAAAAATTTTGCTGAATCTGGCACTCTAGCCATTCTCCCGTCTACTAGGTGAGTGATTGCTGAATATCGGTGTATTTTCGCTAGAGATTACATTCTGAACAGTTGGAGTTGCACTCATCTATCTACTATGAAAATGTCAGTGCAGTACAGCTCAACTTGCTAGACGAAAAACAAATATAGCGAAATGTAAGGCTTTAAATGAAATCGCTAAAACATTTTCACTATAATATGCAGTACTAATGCAATAAAAGAGAAGATAAACAGTCGGAGGCAATGGATACAAGTTTATTGAACAATGAGAACGCTGTGGATAAACTTAAAAAATTTTCTGTATCGTAAAATTTATAAGTTAATCTTAATATAAAGGGAATAACTTTTAGCATTTTGTACGGTGAAAACAATGATTGGACGTACAGACTAATCATTGAAAACCAACTTGGAAAACTATTGAATCACAGATTTCGCATTTTTGCACAGTATTACTCGGATAGGAATCTACTCTAATAGATGGTTATTTATGATCGAAATAGTCCACTTTAAATGTAATTGATTCAAGAATCGAATAATGCAAAGTTGGTCAAGTAACGATCTATGGTGGAGACTTCACTGAGGAATTACCCAATTACCAATTACAAATTAGTGGAGTCAGTTTCGAAGCACACAATTTGTGGGTGTCCTAGTGACACTATCACTACTGTTAACCCACCGCCTTTTAAAAGTTGAAACAATGTACGGTTTTTCGGAAAATTCTTTCATTATCACCTGTTCAACCAATTTCTTAAAGATCTCAACAACAAAAAACGATAATAGTAAAATTTTTACATCTAGTGTGTCCTTTCGTAAAGGTAAAGAACTTAGAGATGTATTTCCATGTTTGTCCAAACTACTCGAATCAGGTTGACTGAAGAAGTCCAAAGAAATACTCTCATTTTTTGTATGACATTGATCAATATCTGGTGACTGTTGTTCATTCTGGGTCTGATATTGTATTAGGTCAGTTAATGTAGATACCAAAAGATCTCTAGCATTTTGATCTGTACATGCAAGTGTTATTTGACAAGGAATAACATCCATATTCATGGAATTAAGATCTAAATGAGAGACAAACAAACCAGGGGAAATATGGAGAGAGTACATACATGAGAAATTTACTGCAAGAAGAAAGATATTTTTGTAAACTTTCAATCAGAAGCTCTGTACACGAATATCCTAACGGTTAATTAAACCAATGTAGTAATACTTAGTACGCAACTGATAAAACGAAAAAAAATGAAATGAAAATAATGATAATATCAACGGTAGTGGGAAAAACTAAATATTGATGAGTAAATTTCGAAAAGAAGGGATAAATTCGGGGAATAAAAAGTACGAACTAATTTTGGAGCTCTACAGTTACGGATATGTAAAGCGTAAATGCACCTACACCGTCGTCACTGACTCCGATCCATGTTATCCGACGTTTCCAAACACTGATTACGATTATCGTGTGGACTTCAGGCAGGTATTATGTGCCTACTAACACGCCTCAGTCCAATAGTTAAGGACTAGTGTCACATCCTGGTTTGGCCGCGGTACAAAATAGTTTATGTGCATTAAACACGCCTCTTCGCTGACACGAGAACCTTGTCTATATCAACGTAATAGGGCTTCCAGGATAACCAACGGTGTCCACGCACTCAAATAATTCACTCGCTATAACCAATTTAGGGGGTCATGCAGGCTAGTCGTGAGACAGTATTTTGTATCTAGAGAAAGAGAAATGTATACCAAACATCCTTGAATTGTGTTCGGAAGATTTTGGACGTATTACGGTTCTTACCTAACAGAACTACATCATCTTCATATTTCAAGTCAGTAAGTGATTCTCCTGGTAAGAGGTCAATCCTTGAAAAGCCAGAAAAGAAAAGAGATTTGACCGAATGAATGTTCATGGCAAAGTTAAATGAAACTACAGGGAGTAGCCAATCATAGCGAACACCACGTAACGTTACCAAATTTAACGACAGTTCGTCATAAGCTCTAAATTGATGAATAATCACATGAGATTATATCCAACTGCACCACTAATTTCAGGTTTCTAACAAACGTCTGACATGTATATACAGCAGACCCCATACTATGATTCGCTACCTCAAGATGCATACACACTACATAGACAATGTCTTTCCATATGACTAAAGTTGGTGCTCTGCAAAGATTAAGCGGTCGTATCGGCGTAGTCGCAATAGACGATCACCGTCATGTGTTCACTGGTTTAGGACGTCAAAAAACTCAACTTGAATTAGCAAACAGACTTAGGTATTTAAATTACCTGCTACCATAACCACGTTTCTGAGCCTCGGGGATTCTGAAGGATCGGAAAGCTTTCTATAGAACTCAGCCTTGGTGCAGACATTGGAGGGTGTTAGTAGAAACGATGAAGAGGCAACAGTGTGTATCCGCGTCTTTCTGAGTTCTTATTTAACCATCTAAAGGGACAGCATGTAAACGACAGTGAACAGGAATCCAGTCAGAGAATACCGACCCTGTCACTGGACACCGGTAAAATTTATTCTTTCAAAATATGACTACTTACAAGAGCAGTCAGTAAGTCAGTAAGCAACGTAGAACTTCGTACATACGTACATCAGTTCAAGTTGCCATACCACATTACCACACAGATATAATTGTCGATTCAAATCCCGTAGTGGTAGCGATAGTGAAAGTATGAGAAGTAATCGAAAACATTAGGGTTTGAAGATGTTATTCAAGGAGTATAATCCAGTGAAGTAAATTTGGAAAGAGGAAAACGAAAGGGACATGAAGAATCCAGATTAGAATCTAGGAGAACACAAAGAGTGTATGCACTTGCGTCATTCCAAACGATTTTGAGCCATGTCATTCAGGGTCTCTAACCATCAGTTGCTATCGTCTCGTGGACCCCAACCAAGTAGTCAACATTTACCAACATGCCTCAGTCCACTTGTCAGTGACTTCATATATTTGTGCCATGTTTTGATCCGGTCACCTCTAGCTTTCTTCCAACTTACTCCTACACCATAAAACATCGCTCGTCGGGGCAGTCGGTGGTTGGGCATACGTAACACATATCTCAGCCATCTCAACTGATGCAGTTTTACTACTTCATCAATTGATTTGCCATCCCCACCTCGTACCTGTTTCCTAACAACTGCATTACTTACTCGGTGGTCCCACGATATACGAGCAATAGTTAGAAGACACCTATGATCGAATACTAGTAACCTACGAATATCCTCTACTCTTATCGGTCATGTTTCACTACCATAAAGTAGGACGGAACAAACTGCTCAGCAGTAAACCAGTCCTTTGGTTGATAGACGGATATCTCGCCTACGCTATAAATGACGTAAGTTGGCAAAAGCTTGTCGAACCTTCTGTACCCTTTCTGAGATTTCATTGCACACCAGACCACAAAGGCTGGTGAGACTCCCAAGATAAGTGGAGCGATCGACATGCTCAATTACTTCACTCCCTATCATTAGTTCGGGTGTCAATGCAACCCAATCCTGAAACAACAATTTGCATTTCGAGGGGGAGAATCGCATCCCGAACATCCTTTCATTGTTACTTACGGTGGTTAGAAGACTCTGCATTTTGTTAGCGTCTTCACCAAATATAACTACGCCATCGGCATGTTCTAAGTCAACAAGTGAATCTCCCGGAAAAATTTCAACGCCTGGAAATTTAGATGAGGAAAGTGTTATCTCTAAAAGCACGTCAACTACAAAGTTAAACAAGAGCAGTGTTTTGGTAGTTAGGCTAGTAAGCTCAGCTTACAAAAGAAAGTGTGATTCATTGCCGGATACATCTACTTAATTACTGAACTGGTTTAATAATATAATTTTCGTTACGAAATATACAGTGAGAATATTTACACAGTAAATTATCTATTTACCTTTAATCAATAAATCTAAATCTGTTTCACTTTCGGTAGATCTAATCACAGCCAAATTGTTCAATGGTATTTTGACCTGTTTTCAACAAATCATCAACAAAATTTGTATGAAATGTACTGCTCAATAAAAATTCTAATGAGCATTACAAAAAAACAGGACTAAACGAATGAAACGATAACCCAAAATTACTCATTTTATCAATAAGGAAAAGGAGTAATCAATGTTTTTCATGGTGGTCTAGCTTCATTTAACTTATGAATTCAATTATAAATTTACTAAAATCTCCACAAAAATTCTTCCGATAATTTTGAATACGGAAATTTTGTACACTCGTTTATCCGGACGACTATTCAGAATAAAAGGCAATAAAGCGAAGCAAAGGCGAATGAGCCAACTCGACTTGATGAAACATGACTCAAAATTTATAGTCAGATAAAAATAAGCTACAAACATGTCATGAATGACGTAAGAAATACACACAGATGCTCATATAGAAACAGAAATGATTAATAAGAGAATAATTAACGAGGTCAAAATGTGACTCAAGAAGAATGAATAAATTGGTCTATTCAGAAGCTAGAATAATCCATATAAGCTTGACATAGCATCAGACACTACAGGCCGATTGATGCGTATTTTACTCAAAAGAATTCGAGAACATTATCCGACTTGGCTCAAAAGAGGCGGAAATGGCTCAATAAGAAGCTCAATAATCGAACGCAGGTCACTCAATCAGAGTGGACTGAATTCAAATTCATCTACAAGGTAAATAGAAGGTTATCAAAGCCACTTATATTCCATTTTCTTAACGTTGACGAACCAATAGCATACATCTACAAAAACCAAAATTGTGTCCAAAACAAACTGGTACAACCTCTTCTTCTACCATGATCTTAATATCTTGGAATTTTCATTCTTCTTCATGCTTTTCTTCATTCATAGCCATCTGCTTCCCTTCAATATTCTCCATAGAATTATCCCCAAACGGTATTTTTCTGTTTCTATGATCCGCCTGATTGCAGTTCCTCCTAATTTTGACATTTCATCTTATCATACTGAGTATCTTATTCACAGTTATAATTTCCCTATATTCATGATGAATATACAAGTCCTAAACAACAAAGTTATTATTAGTTTCCCTGATGAAAATAATCTTTAATGCTTTTTTTATCCCACCTCACTGTTACCATGTTTAACAGAATTTCATTATCACTATTATTGTAATTATTATCATTTTGAAAAATAAGTATATATTTGCGAATGTACAGTTTGGAAATGAATTCGCCGAAAAGAGAACTTTTATGTCTAATAACACAATACAGTAATCCACTTATTCAAGGCTGACAAGTCTTTCAATAATTAACAGATATTTACCACAAACACGTATTTATGTTGCCTCAAAAATGTTGCACACGGTAAGATAAAGGAAGAATAGTATGATTAGAAAATCATTTTCAAACCCACTGTTAAACTGTAAGAATGAAGAGTTATTGAACATTGTTACTCCGCGCAAAAGGATTGGTAAGAAAAGTGCATTTCGCTAATCACCTTTATGGAATCAGGGTTTCCCAACATCCATAAGTGGCCCATCAGTACCAAATGACATGGTTTGAACACTAGATATCCACTCTTACCTTATCACAGTACATATAGCCAAGTATGGCTATGCTATAACAACTTATATATAATTCAGTGCAAAGCATCAACAGCCTAAATAATTCAGACTTTACTGAAACTGTGGGAGAAGGGGGTCGAAAAACAATTGTGTAACTGAACCTCACAAAAAGTACTGCAGTATACTGATTCTTCGATTTGGCTACCAACATCAAATTAAGTGGATCAAGCTTTAATCTTATGAACCGAAATTAACCATAATACTCACGTAAATGTGAATATGTGTTATTAGCAGTAAGTAACATTAGGATTAACGTCTAATGACCAACAAAACCATCGGTTTCAAATATAGGTTTTCGTATTTTATAGAGGAGACGTCTTGCTTGAAATTGTGTTAATTTTAGTGGTATTTTAGTTACTACATTATTACTATTATCTTATTCACAGCTGCCATTAACTACTACATATTAAAACAGTCGTACCAATTTTAACAAATTAATCGATAAAGTCTTAATTGCATATTACGTACTCCATAGTAGAGAGTCAGTAAAGGATGTATCACTCGCAGAGAAACTCAAAGTTCAGGGTAGAATAGAACAGCTACTGAATCCTCCTCGATTTTTAAGAGTTCTCTAAATTATTTCAGCTTATTATGAGTCCCAAATAGGACGAAACACGCGTCTTCCATCCCACTGCTAGCCGCTATCCACCTTTGCTTATAAAGCTTGTGGATTAAGGCAATACGAACAGGATGTACATATGCCAAAAAGAGACTGATCAATTGCAGTCTTAAACTTCAATGAGAAGATTCAAGCAAACAACACCTAGTGTATTTAAATTCAAATTAAGTGAAAATCGGGACTCAGTAGCTAAGTGGATAACGCGATGGCGTTTGAAACGAATGGCACTGGGTTCGAGTTGCAGAGTGAACATCAACTCTGAGATGCAGGTACATCCAGCTGATGAGTCCCAAATAGGACGAAACGCGTGTCTTCCATCTCACTGCTAGCCACTACCCATCTTTGCCAATAATCAGATAGATTTTAAATACGGGAAAAAAGGATACTGATTTTACTACGATAAATGAATATAAAAATGGAAATTATAAATTCAACCTCGTCGTTGAATTCACTGACCACGTAGATAGATATACGTCGGTTTATTAGTATGTCATGAAATTTCAGGTTTTCATTTGATTTAATTATTACCTTTACATGTACAACGTAGATAATTTCAGATAGTGTATTTCATTAAAATTTTAAGTTACCAATTGTCCATTCGACAAAGTAAATTTTTGGAAGTAAAAATATCCAAGTTGTTTTCTGGAATTCCATCAGTAATAGTATCAGTAGAGAAAAAGACACTGGGGAAAGAATATGTTTGTTTAGTGAAATTACAAAAGGCTTACAGAACATATACACCTATTATTCAGTGATCCATTTGCGCAGGCCAAGGAGTGGGGAGAGTCTACTCTCCCTCTCGAAATGCTCTCACATGGCCACGCGTATATAGCCTCTGCCAGGGAAGTCCTACTCACTACCTTCTTGTGACGGGGTGTTGTCTACGGAAATGAGAGGACGAAGAGCGAATATCCGGCGCTTTAAGCGGGTTGGTGGACATTTAGAGTTCACCTAGGGGGATTGGAAAACCCTGACTCCAAACCAATGGTGCACATGGGCTCCACGATCCTAAAGGAACAAATGGCGTATGAACCAATTGTTGGACACCGACTACTATGGGACTGCATCTCCTTATGATGCTCCACTACCTTTTGGATCAGACCTTCAGGTCGAAGGCTCCTAGTGTGGCCTTCTAGGAAAACCACCTACTTCGGTTTGGACAACCGGGCAGTATCACAGCCCTCACACATATGAAATGAGACTTGTGTGGTGCATATGTATTTGGTGCCTTCTTGTACCAATATCTGTGTGTTAAAATAATAAAATTGCGTCCGGTTAGATATTCTCTGATTCAAGTTTGTCCTAGCCTGGTCTCGAAAGTATTCTGCTTACTCCATGGTTTGTGACCCCTTGGAACTCTTCATTTTGACTGTATCAACTTCCATGCGACCAATAAGTAATCTTATGAGCAGCATTCACCACAGTAGTAGTAGTAGTAGTAGTAGTAGTAGTAGTAGTAGTAGTAGTAGTAGTAGTAGTAGTAGTAGTAGTAGTAGTAGTAGTAGTAGTAGTAGTAGTAGTAGTAGTAGTAGTAGTATTTGTTATTTATGATTTAGCTATTGCTTAGCCGTAAACCTATGAGTATTTCCTGAATAAATATTGATCTATTTATATATTGAATTAATAAGTTATTGGTAATTCTAAGTTTTATAAAATGAAGCAATAAAGTTAAAAAAGACACAGAGGTGAATTTCACTTACAGTATAATCGTAAACATTAGTTTGGTTTGTTCTAGCCAACAGGAGCACACAGGTAGGAAATATAACCAATAATGATAATTGTGTTTTTCTTGTTAATATATCATTTATATGGATGAAATCTGGTAGGGTTATCATTGATTGGTTTACTTGTATGTTAACTAGGAGAACACGTAGAGTGAGAATTGGGTCACCAAGTTGTTGTATAGGCTAATTGTAGTACGAAACAAGAAAATCAGCAGTATTAACAATTAATAGAAATACTATATATGGGAGGAAAGATTCAGAAATTATAAATAACAAATATTTCATCTCCTGTAATTTACTCTCCAGGTTCAATCAGCTCTTATTTAGGTTTTAGCATAATCTATTGAAAAGTCGCAAAACAAAATCATAGTTTCCATTATATCAATTAATATAGTCATGAAGTACTTGCAGCACCATAACGGCGTCGAGAACACAAGAACAGCATGGATCAGCAAATATTGATTACCTCTACTATGCTAAATGAAAATGTTGTCCACTTTATTTATACATAATTTCGAAAAGGATTCAACATTCAAAGGCGTTTTTAATATGTACAACAATATTTTGTACAGAACTTGAATACTCAACTAAGACTATATGTTTCTATACAGAGTGATCTTCTCAGACTTCGAACTTATGGATATTCCAATCTCTAGTGCCTTTATCAAAATAATAATTACTGGCGTAAGAACGTGATCCCCTGAACTTTGCATTTATCCAAGATTTTGAATGAAATGTAAACATTATATATATATATATATATATATATATATATATATATATATAAATTCTTAAGACTCAGGAAACCGTTTATGAAATTTGTGGAAGAAATGGTCAAAGAGCAGCTAGGAGACCCAGAAATATTATTTGACCGACGTAAGTTGGTGTGTTTTATTATCTTATTTGTTCAGGAGGCCAGTCTTCGTATTTTGAAAATGGTCATAGTGATCTCAGTCGTCTTCACTTGTCGTGAATCCTCGATAATACTCACTTCTGTTATTCTTTAAGTGTTCAACTAATAATCAAGAACTGTCTGAGATTGTCATCTACGTTTGATGGGTGAAAGCTGTTGAAATAACAGAAGTATGTCCGAAATTGCATTACCCTTAATGTCAAGTACATCTAATTCAAAATATCGTAAAAAAGTTATAGATCAATTAATGCTCAACTGTAACTAAAATCATAGAAGCTGAATTCAGAAAATATTCACCTATTCTTCCGTCTGATGTTAACAAAATTTTTATCCTTAATAAATAATAAATAATTTATGGACTGTTGAGTGACGCTATAGTGACCCTGATAATGTCCGCCTACCACACTGGGGCTAAATGAGGGTTATAAACCAGCATGAAGAATTAGGATTATGATTTACTGTTGACAGTTATTGTTGAGGACTATACTTAGGGTTTTCATCACGAACTAACACCAGCTAAAATGTTGAAACGCTATTTAGACAAATGGGTGAAAGAATTTCGTGCTAAAATCCAAAACCTGTTGTCCCAAATCTGATTGTTTCGTCTAGAGATGTTACTTTTGACATCCAAACAAAACAGTTTATGGATTTCAACTAATCAGGTTACAGCAATGCAGTATTTACAGCCAATTAATGAATTCCTATAGCAAACAAAAGGTGTGATCCAAATTTTGAAGGAATACATTTTTGGAACACAAGTTAACTGAGCATTGATTCTTAAATATTTATATAATCATACCACTTGATTTTAATCAATAGGGATCAGTAATATCAACCACAGTGAAAATAACATCACCTACTAAACATTTTACTGGCTATTTAGATAGAAACGAGTAAATTATTTAAATGAGTATTTTATTCGAAGACTATAAAGCTCTCCTTTGACTAAATTGAAAATACGATTACAGTTGAAATCGCTGTATTTGGTATACAAGAATATTAATAGAAATCGATCATTCCAAACTAATTAACTTGTCTTTGGAGATAAATGATAAACACAGTAATGATGATTTATATTTGCACTGCTTCACACTAAGAAGAACGGAAACAGTATCCATCAGGATTACCAGTTGCCGAAGGGGTTTTAGCTTCAAATCGATTGTGCAAGAAGCCATTTCGGCCAGCACTGTTGTGGAAAGATATAAACAGTACTATATGCGGTTGGTCAACAAACACTATTGTAAAAGTTATTAAATCATTTTGGAATATGATCGTTTGTTTTTCTCAAGAAATTCAATGAGTGAATGTTGACTGCCAACTTAAGCACTAAAGATTCCTGTTTGTTATATATCATTCAGTCCCTTGTTACACTTAACTTTTAAAAAGAGTGAAGTCAGTCGGAGGTTGATTAGGAATACAGTGGTCTTGAGTGCTGTTAAAGGTATGACGGCGGTTATCACTTCCCGGTTGCCCACAGCGTGGAAGGGTTGTTCTGGAGGTACCTGAAAAGGAAATTGGATTAGAGGTGGTCTTAGTGACCTGAGAGCGTGACCGCAGTGCATAAGGGACAACTGCTTGAGGTCGGTCACACACGACCTTTTTATGGGTAATTTTTGTGTTAGCTCCGTACTTTTTGGGACCTTACCGCCCGAGACGGATATCCGTAGGATAAGGCAAGGTGGGAAGGCAGCATCGCTGTCATGCTGGTTGTCCGAAGGAAACACCTCACTGCTGTCACACCTCTGTACAGTCAGCAGTACGACTTCGCCTTCGGACCTTGGGTTTGTTGCTATTAGTCTTACCGCTCTTCAACCGACCTGTCTGACCTTGAGGAACAGTTGTTCCAGCCAGTATAGCTCGGTTGCTTCATCACGATAGGCAAGCCCGACCACCACGTCAAGGTAGCAACAACGGTCGGGTTCTAACAGCGTACTACACTATCTCTCTGAATATTGCAATATGTGATCTGTAGCACTCTCAGATTGCTTTAGTATATCGAGAAAAACTAATGCATGAATGTAAATCTTGTAACTCACTTAAATTTTTAAGAAGTACATTTCATTTTATGTATGTTCTCATTGTAGTTACAAAGTCATGATAAAGTGAGAAATCGCGTCTATCGATCACACGATGTAATGAGTGCAGAAGCCAAACAACTTCGGCAGTTATACTACCAAAACACTTCATAACGTTCATCAAACCGTTAATATTTTTCTTCCTTCTATCCTACTATGTACCTCGTTCATTCCTTTGTTCTGTTTTAATTTTCACTTTCATGTTAATTATGCATTAGTTATTTGCTATTGATGTTATGTACTGTTTGTTGTCTATATTACCTTTCCAACTACCCTTTCGTATTTACTATTTTCGATGCTGAATAATTAGATGCGGTAACACGAAAGCGTAATTTGTTTAGAAGCGAGATTGTTATTGCAGTTTTAGTTATTTCTCTTTATTACGTACATAAAAATATTTTTGTTTGTTGCTGATTTTTGATTTAGCATTCAGTTTCTTTCAGACTGAGCTAATAATCATTTATATTATTTTAAGAAAATGTATTTGTCTTACTATAAATACAAGCCTTTCTGTCTCAATTTCTTTAAAAGTGTTGTGCTTTAAGTTGATTTTTCGGGTATCGTATCTTTATATCTGTCTACTTTTACTTTTTCAATTGAATGTCGATAGACATCTTCAGTTTGTAACCTAATTTACCGTAGCTATGTTATGTTTAGTCTTTTTGTCTGGCTTCCCGAGCGAAGCTGCTACCTTGACGCGGTGGTCGGGCTTGCCTATCGTGATGACCCAACCGAGTTACATAGGCTGGAACATATGTTCCTGTAGGTTCTACCATGCCAGGCAGGTCGATTGGTGAACGGTAAGACTAAAAGCAGCAACTCAAGGTCTGAGGGCGAAGTCGTACTGCTGACTGTAGAGAGGTGTGACAGCAGTAAGGTGTTTCCCTCGGACAACCAGCATGACAGCGATGCTGCCTTCCCACAAGGAAGGAAGGGATTGGAAAAGGTCGACCCTAAAAATGTCACACCTCACCTTACCTCACGGATCTCCGTCTCCGGCGGTAAGGCCCTTTGAAGAACGGAGCAAACTCGTCAAAAAAACCCACGAAAAGGCCGTGCGCGACCGGCCTCAAGCAGTTAATTGCTTAGTCAGACTTGTAGACAGTCTGACAGGAATTAAATGAGTTATATATTCTCCTATCCTTATATTATTGTGATTGTTGTTGGATTTTGTCGGATTGTTGTCGATTTTTGGTGTGGAAATATAGTTACGCTGTATGTCTATGGAAATTACTTTTCTCGCTTCCAAAAACAATCAATTGATTCAAATTATTATCATTACAATTATTGTCATTAATAATACTATTATTATTATTACTATTATTGTCATTATTATTATTATTATTATTATTATTATTATTATTATTATTATTATTATTATTATTATTATTATTTTCCACAATATTCACCCTCTTTTATACTTATACAGCGGCTCGTCTTTGGTGGAAATTCGACTCCATCTAAACGTTCTCGAGTCACTGTCCGGTTGAAAATTGTATGTTACCACCGAATATGATTACTGAAGCAGTTTTTCTGAAACCACCACTGGCAGCAAGAAGTCTGGTGTGAGTGAAACAATCTGCGAGGATGATGGGATGCCAATCACTAACATCCATCGACGTCTTGGACGGTGGGCAGAATTTTTTGAAGGGCAGTTCAACTGGCCTGCTGCTCCGGCAGCATCGGTCAGACTGTCCACCCCCATGGCCGGTGACGACTGATCCACCAAATGAGGAGGAAGTCCGCAAGGAACTCCAACTCTTGAAGCGCTACAAATCACCTGGTCCAGATCACTTACCTCCGGCTCTTTTAAAGATGGTGGTGACTTTTTGACTAAGGAATTGACGACGTTGTTTACAAAGGTTTGGGAACTAGAGAGTGTACCAACGTCATGGAATGAGTCGATAGTTGTCCCTATCTTTAAAAAGGGTTCACGTCGTTCTTGTAACAACTATCGGGGGATAAGTTTACTTCCGATTGCGTCCAAGCTATTGGCTTCCGTCATTCTTCGTAGGTTGTTCAAAACCCGAGAAAGATTGACTCGCGAGGAGCAGGCTGGGTTTCGTTCTGGTCGAGGATGTATTGATATCTTCACCCTCCGCCAAATGTTAGAACACCGCCATACTTTTCAAAGGCCAACAATCGTAGTGTTTCTTGACATCAGGGCTGCCTTCGATTCGTTGGATAGGACTGTTCTCTGGGATTGTCTATTGAAGAATGGTGTGCCTGAGAAGTTTATTAACATCCTAAAAGCCCTGTATAAAAACACCTCAGGCAGAGTGAAGGCATACAACCACCTCTCTCCATTGTTCCATTCGAGCAGTGGGGTTAGGCAGGGTTGCCCAATCTCACCATTCCTCTTCAACTTTGCCATCGATGACATTCTGGAAACAGCTCTGATGAATGTAAGTAATGGTGGTGTGGATCTGTTGCCTGGAGAAAGACTTCTCGACCTTGAGTATGCGGACGATATTGTCTTACTGTGCGATAATGCCCAAGGCATGCAATCCGCACTTAATCAGTTGGCAATCAATGTCCGTAGGTATGGTATGTGCTTTGCACCTTCGAAGTGCAAAGTACTTCTACAAGACTGGCAGGATTCTAATCCTGTACTCACCCTGGATGGTGAGCAGATAGACGTAGTCGCGAAGTTCGTGTATTTGGGTAGCTGCATAAGTGCTGGTGGGGGTGTGAGTGATGAGATCAATACACGTATAGTGAAAGCCAGAGCGGCTGATGCCAATCTGGGCCACCTTTGGCGCCTTCGTGATGTTAGTCTGGCCGTAAAAGGTCGGATCTACGACGCGTCGGTGAGAGCAATTTTGCTCTATGCTTGTGAAACCTGGTCTCTCCGAGTCGAGGACGTTAGACGACTCTCTGTGTTCGATCATCGTTGTCTCCGAAGGATTGCTGACATTCAGTGGCAACACCATGTCAGTAATGCAGAGGTTCGGCATCGTGTGTTCGAACACAGAGATGATAATTCAATTGGTGTCACCATCTTGAAACACCGACTTCGGTGGCTTGGACATGTTCTACGAATGTCGTTCCAGAGGATTCCACGTCGTGCATTGTTTGCCGACGCTGGGACTGGTTGGAAGAAGCGGAGAGGTGGTCAGTGCATGACATGGTGTCGTGGCATGAAAGAAAGCTGCAAAGGACTGGCTTGTGTTGGTCCTTTACGACTCCCTGGTTGGGGTCCGAGAGATGGTGCTACACAGTGGCTAGAGACGTTATCAGATATGGCTCAGAATAGAAGCCAGTGGCGATCCTGCTGTAACCTTCTTCTACTTTCTTCAAAAAAAGTGGTTGTGTCTCCTGAAAGATTTCTTCTGATTGTACCTCTCCGTTCCCTCATTTCTACCATACTACTTTACACCAACCTCCTCGTTGTTGTTCTCTTTTGTTTGCGCTCCTTAGCTTTTTTTTTTCTATTTCTCTTCGAATTCTCATTGTTTTGTGTGGCGCATATATATTGGCGCTCTCTTGTACCAATATTCATGTGTTCAAACAAATAAATAAATAAATAATACATTCTAGTCAGGCTAATCACGTGTTCTTGATCTGAGTTGTGTTAAAGTCCTGTACAATAGACTCTGGGAGGTTATCTAGTGTAGATATTCATCTGAAGCAAATTAACGTCTCATTTGTAAAGACGAAGTCCGAGCGTTTTAACGCATATATATAGAGTAATGTTAATATCAAACTGCTACAAATAAACAAGAATGAGGAGCTACTACACAAAATCATTAACTAAACTTGTAAAAAGATTTTGCGAAGTGTAGACACCACAAAATTCACATAACTAAACGTGTTCTTGTCACCCTTTTTCAGATGAGAACTCTTTACAGAATAGGTCAACCTCTAAAAAATAATTACAACGTCAATAAGTAAAAGTTAGTCGGCTAATTGTTTATCATGTGTTTAATTTCGTGAAGTTTTCTGTTTAAACCTTAACTAAATAAAATAAATATCGACTCATGTCAACCTTAAGAGGAAAGTGAAATGGAACACGTTACCGATTCCAGAATAGCATTTTTATGTTGTGGATAACAAGAAATTGAAAAAATTAAAAAGTATAACAACTAATTGTCGAACTGTTCAAAATTAAGTACTTCTAAATTCCATAACATGTAAGTGACCATTTAGGGGATGACTAGTGCTTTTGATAAATAATGGAGAACAAAAACAGTTGATTGACATGGATTGATAAGAAAAATGAGCCACAGATTTTGATTGTATTTATCAAGACATTCTGTAAACTGCCTTCAATAACATGAAATCAAAAACGTGTACTGATATCCAGCCACTCAGTGTAAAGCCACAAGACGAACTTGGTCTAAAGAATCTGATCAACAGAGAGGGCCAGCGACTGATTAGTGAAATCCTAGAATCCTTTGGGAGTAAAAAGATACCACGTAATGTCATGTCGAATAAATAAACTCGAAATAAAAAGCATTTTTTTAAAAACTTTGATTTGGATGTGACAAGTCAACCACTGAAACGCTTATTTCTACCTTTTAAGCCGCTTTCTATGATGGCTAACAATTTTAACAATACAACTGTGAGAGATTTACTGCAAGATTAGTTTATGCACAGGAAATCTGTTGAGGATGCTAGATCCCCAGAATACACTTGGTAAATACCTTATTTTTGTAATTTTATTTTGAGAAATTGAATTTCTTTGTTTTCGCACCAAAAGCGCTCTTTTAACTTTCACGTCGTATTTCCCACTTGGGAGAATCTTAAACGCTATTGGTCCATTGTATCTTTTAGTATGCTATTTTGTAACGCTTCCCAAGGACAGTTTTATGCTGTATATATACGTTTGATTCGTGTCTGTTGTTATCGGTCGTGCTTCTGGTTGCTTAAGAAATATATTCCCCCGTCCGAACTTCGACTTCTTTCTCTAGTTAGAGGGGCCGGGAAGCATCAGAATAGCTAGCTTATTGGTCCTTGGTCACAAAGTCTTTGTTCCGTTCACAGACAAGGTGAACTCGTAATCGCTTCAAATATAGCAAAATCAAGAGTATCTACAGATTTATATATGACCTTTGGACTCTAGAACCTCCTGAAAACATACTTAACGTGGTAATGATGCCAGTAAATATACAATTTAAGATGTGACACATGAATTTTTATTTCCTAGATGTTTCTGAGAAGTTTCTATTCAATGTCAATAGACAGAACACTGTTCGACATCCAAAATAAAACTAATATATATGATATAACAGAAACAGAAAGGAATCAATGACAAGCCGTGCGAAGGAAAACTATGGAAGTATCTATAAAAACGTATGTGTTCATACCTATATAAATCTGAATATACGTATGAGTGTATATGTGTATGGAAGTATTCAGAAATTTGCAGGGGTGAATGAGAAAGACAATCCCAAGGTCAAAAATGTGCGTTAGCCATGGAAAGTTACGAACTGTCCAACTAATCAATATTGTGAATAAAACAATCCACTTAGTAGATTGTTAAAAATAACTATCAGATAACGGCGTCAAATCTATTTATCACATTATTGGAACATATGGAATGATGGGCAATGTTAATGAAGCTGTATTACAAAAACACTTGTAAAACTTGTTATCAACATGCACAGAAACAAACTTATAGACGAGAAGTTTCAGCTAAGTTGGAAAAACTAACAGTATGCTGCATAAAAAATAACTTACCGGTCCTCGCCATCCATTTATTACTGACAGTAATACATTGATATCATACTCTTTAAATTTTCTAAGGATTGCACACCTTTCCTACTTATTTATTGTTAGAAAGAAAAACAAATAAAAGTTGGAAGCTTATACTTTTTGAATGTAAAACGTTTGAGACCTCACCTTATTTGATTGCTGTTTCAATTACCTAATTGTTTCGAATAAACACGTTATACAATTAATTTTTCAAACACAGTTCATTTTATTAACTTGAGATCAATTAGAACAACGAACTCAGTAAAATGTTATTCGTGATTTTTGTCAATTGCTTTCACTAGTTGAAAGTAAGTAGATTTCATGAGCTTACTGAGCCATCAGCTTACGCCCAATCTCTTTCAAATTCCTGCACATAAGCGTTTATTAACATACATAACATCGTACCTTCACTTTCCCCAAAACGCCTTGTTACGGCCGAGGGTAGGAGAGTCAGCTCTTCTTTTCCAAATGCTCTCACATGGCCACGCGTAAACAGCCACTGCCAGGGAAGTCCTACTCACTGCCTTCTCGTGTTATTTACAAAATTAAGAGGACGAAAGGCGAATATCCAGTGTTTTTAACCACTTTAGTGGGTACGGAGGATTTACATAGCGCAGTTGGAAAACCCTGATTCCAAACTAATGGTGCACATGGTTCCAGTATACTGAGGGAACAAATGGTGTATCAACCTATTGTTGGTCATCGGCTACCATGGTAATCCATCTCCTAACGTTGCTCCACTACCTTGTGGATCAGACCTCTAGGTTAAAGGCTCGAAGAGTAGTCTTATAAGAAATCACCTACTTCGGTTAGGGCGCTCGGACAATATTCCATGTACATTTTTGTTAGTGGGACACAGATTAGATTAAAGCATGCTCCATGCACAATTGATTTGGTGCACGCTGATCGGCTAATTCACATCCAATCATCGCTAGTCGATACTTGGAGAACACTAAAAATCTTCTCATGTATAACTATAAATATACTAACGTTTTTCCTATTGTGCTTCATACTTCTATCTAACCTTGTTATTTGGAATATAATCTCTTTCCTGTTCAACCGTGTTCTGATTTGGGGACTTGTCGAGTGAATTGGTGCCCGAGAATAATAAGCAATAGGAATAGCTGGGTTGTAATAAGAGAGAATTATAACAATTTGGTACCTCCTTATACCAATGTTTGTATAAAACCTTCACTCTGGACAGTTACCTGATGACGACATTATGTGACAATAATAGTTGAACATTTATTGTACACCGTATATTACTTAACGAAGATTGGTAACGATTAAAAGAAACACAAAATCGTTCAGTTTTTTACCGAATAGGATTTGTTTAGAGATTTGTGAACATTATTTATTGAGCCAGTCACCACCGTATGTTAACCACTTGCTCAAGACTGTCTTAATACTGGTGCTATTTATGAATCCACAAATCTGTTATCTTGCAATGTACTAACTCAATGATTCAGTTTACTTTACCATTTGACAACGAATTTGAATTCACGTTACAAAAGTGCCATATGGATACGATTTGTGGGCATGGATCATGTGAAATGTTTGCAACAAAAACTGTCGCTCAAATATCTGTAGCTATAAAATCTTGATCACTAAACTTAGAAGTCCAAAACTATTGAACTTATTCCTACCTGTCCATACACTTATTTACCCTCAGATAACTAAGTATAGCTCACATACTAACTTAACCTACGCGTGGGATTATTTGTCTTGGAACCAAATTAATGAGAACAAAATTAGTGGAGTGTTTGCTCAGTGGTTAGGACGTTCGACTTTCAGTTACTAAGTTGCAAGTTCAAACCTGTTTTATCTAATTGCGTTCGGGCAATCAGGTAGTATCACTAGCCCTCATAATTTAAATGTGTCTTAGCTAGTTAGTGAGTTATCAATGATTGAATAAGGTTAACCCGACCGAAGCTGCTACCTTGACGCGGTGGTCGGGCTTGCCTATCGTGATGACCCAACCGAGTTACATAGGCTGGAACATATGTTCCTGTAGGTTCTACCATGCCAGGCAGGTCGATTGGTGAACGGTAAGACTAAAAGCAGCAACTCAAGGTCTGAGGGTGAAGTCGTACTGATGACTGTAGAGAGGTGTGACAGCAGTAAGGTGTTTCCCTCGGACAACCAGCATGGCAGCGATGCTGCCTTCCCATAAGGAGGAGTGGGATTAGAAAAGGTCGACCCTAAAAATGTCACACCTCACCTTACCTCACGGATCTCCGTCTCCGGCGGTAAGGCCCTTTGAAGAACGGAGCTAACACGTCAAAAACCTTCCACAAAAAGGCCGTGCGCGACCGGCCTCAAGCAGTTGTCCCTTGGGCTCTGTGGTCACGCTCCCGGGTCGTTAAGACCAACACTAATCCAATTTCCTTTTCAGGTTCCTCAAGAAATACCCTTCCACGGTGTGGGCAGCCGGGAAGTGACATCAGCCCTCATACCCGTAACATCACACGAGACCACGTTGGTCACATTCAAATCCTTCCTACACCTCCTAATACCTCTCTTATCTCCATCACTAACCCTCCTCACGTCTTTTTATCACCTCGCACCGCTATAGCAAACGATTCGAGTACGTGGAACGCTATTCCTGGTCTCCAGAAACCACGCTCTAAACTACACGTAGGAGCTTTTAACGTACGAACACTTTGCCAAATAGGACGGCAGGCTTCCTTAGCTAGGACTTTAGAATCTCGCGACATCGATGTGTGCTGCGTCTCCGAAACGCGCATACAGGATCCAAGTAGCGTCATTCATTTGACCTCACCATGCCAAAATAAAGAACCGACTCGATTTACGCTTCGTGTATCTGGAAGCCCTGATTCTGCTTCCCGTGGCCTCGCCGGCGTAGGTATAGCATTGAGTCCTAGGGCAGAACTAGCTCTCTTAGAGTGGATCCCAGTAGACAGTCGTTTGTGCGCTGTCCGACTGAATGGAACAATAAGGATCCGAAAAGATAGGGACACTCGTCGTTGCCTCTTCGTCGTTTCTGCCTATTCTCCCACTGACTGCAGCGCAGATGATGTAAAAGATGAGTTTTACAGAAAGCTTTCGGACCTTCTCCGAAAAGCTAAGCGCTCGGATGTAGTAATAGTGGCCGGTGACCTTAATGCTCAAGTAGGTAAACTAAGCGATAGGGAAAGACACCAAGGTGGATCTTATGGTGTCGTGGCTCAAAGAACAGATAATGGCGACCACCTGTTGCAGCTATGATCAGATAACCGCCTGTTCCTTGCAAATATTAACTTTAAGCATAAGGAAAAACATCTTTTAACATGGCGACCCCCTAATTCGTCCCAACGTTGAACCCAAATAGATCACATCGCTATCAGCCACCGATGGAGGGGCTCGATAGAAGACTGTCGCTCATTCTGGAGCACTCGCCTAGATTCAGATCATGCTCTAGTGCGAGCGCGTATTTGCTTGTGTCTTACTGGACGTAGGAAAGACGCTGCAAGGAAACCTCTTAGGGTTCTATTTAATGATAGTCAAGCTAAAAGTATATTTCAGGAACAACTAGGAAAACAGTTAGGCAGCCATGTATGTGATGCCCACCCTGAGGCAGCATGGAATGATATCCGAAAAGCTGTGGAAACAGCAGTGATATCTGCTAGTAAGGTAAACCACAAGGTTAGGGAGCAACACTGGATTTCAGCAGCATCGATCGCACTGATAGATGCTCGGAAACTCATTCCACCTGGCTCTGAACATAATGAAGATCAGAGTCAGCTTAAGCGCAAGCTGACAAAAAGTCTACGCAATGATCGCGAACAGTGGTGGGTAGCGAAAGCAAGAGAAATGGAAAAGGCAGCGGCAATAGGTAATAGCAGACAATTGTTCAGACTCGTTAAGGAAACCGGAGTTAGGAACCCAACCGTTAGCGAAACAATCTCAGAGAAAGATGGACATATTATTCATTCTCAATCCAGGAGATTGGATCGATGGGCAGAACACTTTAGGGGTCAGTTCAACTGGCCTCCAGCCACACTTAGGTTTCCCACGATCTCTAGTCAACCTGAATGGCAAATTAATGTAGGTCCTCCGTCCCTTTACGAAGTTGAAAAAGCCATAGGAAATCTGAAACGAGGGAGAGCAGCAGGCCCTGACAGGTTTACTCCTGAGATTTTTAAGGATGGTGGTCCAGTATTAGCAATGAGATTAACCGAGGTCTTAGGTAGAATTTGGGAACTGGACGTAATCCCATCTGACTGGTCTCAATCACTGATTGTGCCAGTCTATAAGAAAGGACAAAAGTCCTCCTGTGACAATCACAGAGGAATCAGTTTGACTAATATAGTGTCTAAAATATTAGCTTCAATAATACTTCGACGCCTAATCAAAGCTCGTGAAGAGCAGATTAGAGAAAACCAGGCCGGTTTTCGACATGGACGTGGTTGTATAGATCAGATATTCACACTACGTCAGGTTCTAGAACACAGACACACATTCAGACGCCCCACAATGGTAGTATTTCTCGACCTTAAGGCGGCATTCGACTCTGTTGATCGTGAGGTCCTATGGCAGTGTTTGTCACTGAAAGGAGTACCGAAGAAGTACATTAACCTTATAAAGGCTCTCTACTCGAACACAACTGGTAGAGTGAGAGCTTATGGCGAACTGTCATCAGAATTGATTACCTCAAGTGGTGTACGTCAGGGCTGTCCACTCTCCCCATTCTTGTTCAACTTTGTGGTCGACGTACTTTTAGAGATAACACTCTCCTCATCTAAATTTCCAGGGGTTGAACTTCTACCGGGAGGTTCACTTGTTGACTTAGAATATGCAGATGACATAGTTTTATTTGGTGAAGACGCTGACAAAATGCAGAGTCTTCTGACCACTCTAAGCAACAATGCAAGCATGTTCGGGATGCGATTCTCTCCCTCGAAATGCAAAATGTTGCTTCAGGATTGGGTTACATCGACACCCGAACTAGTGATAGGGAGTGAAGTAGTTGAGTGTGTTGATCGCTTCACTTATCTTGGAAGTCTCATCAGCCTTTGTGGTCTGGTTTGTGACGAAATCTCAGCACGGATACAGAAGGCTCGACTAGCTTTTCCCAACTTGCGTCATTTATGGCGTAGGCGAGATATCCGTCTATCAACCAAAGGACGGGTTTACTGCGCAGCAGTTCGTCCCGTCCTTCTTTATGGCAGGGAAACATGGCCGGTAAGAGTAGAGGATATTCGTAGGTTACTAGTCTTCGATCATAGGTGTCTTCGAAACATTGCTCGTATATCCTGGGACCATCGAGTAAGTAACACAGTTGTTAGGGATCGGGTACTAGGTAAGGATGGCAAATCAATTGATGAAGTAGTGAAACTTCATCAGTTGAGATGACTGGGACACGTGTTACGTATGCCCAACGACCGACTGCCTCGACGTGTTATGTTCAGTGGTATAGGAGTAGGTTGGAAGAAAGCTAGGGGCGGCCAAACCAAAACATGGCACAAGTCCATGAAGTCACTGACAAGTGGACTGAGTCATGTTGGTAGGTGTAGACTACCTGGTTGGGGACCGCGAGATGACAGCAACCGATGGTTAGAGACCCTGAATGACATGGCTCAAAATCGTTTGCAATGGCGCAGGTGCATCCACTCTCTGTGTTCTCCCAAATTCTAATCTTCTGAATTCTTCATGTCCCTTTTTTCCTCTTTCCAAATTTATTTCACTGGATTATACTCTTTAAATAACATCTCCAAACCCTAATCTTCCCGATTACTGCTTATACTCTTATTACCTCTACCACTACGGGATTTGAATCGACAACTGAATCTCTGTGCTAATGTGGTGTGGCAAGTCGAACTGATGTACGTACGTACGAAGTTCTACGTTGTTACTGACTGACTGACTGACTGAATAAGGTTAATCAATCAAGTAATGGTACGAAAATTTCAAAACTCACCGTTATTTCACTATAAACATTCATTGCATGAAGAATGTCGGGTCGATCAACATGTGGCTCCTAAAGAAAAAGCGAGATAATTTTACCAATATTATCCTAAGTTTAGACGTCGCATTTATACAGTTAATTACATTGACAGTTTTAACTCACAATCCTTTATGCTAAAACCAAAGAACTTGGAAAGAAGAACAAATCACGAACGCTAAGTTTGTGATTTCCTAAACAGCATTATCGGAACTGGTAGCATTTCCATAGTAGCTCAATCAGATTAAATGAAATGCACTGATATGGTTTACTGTATGATATGTTATGAACTTTCGAAAGTAATGTTTGGTTTAGAAGTGTCTTGACTATTCTAAGGGCTCTGCTAAATACTTTGATAAGTTACATTTAAACTACAGAACCACCATGAGAACGGTTCAATCAATTACTTATCCGATAAAAATATAAAGTGAATTGGTTTCTTGCATTTTCTAGTTCACAAAATCTCAGAGACAGCATGTTACAGTGGCGATATTACTCAATCACATATGTCAGATTTATGGCCGAAATGTGTGCTAAGATGTATTCTTCTGAACTTCTAAAACCGTTCACAAAAATTACACATTTACACCTTCTCGGGTATATCAAAATACGATCAACATCATATAGAATGCATGTGACTAAGGTAAACGTAAATATTCGAATCCATTTTCCATCACGCAGTTGCATAGTCAAAAACAATAGGCAGTTCTACTTTTATGACGGTAATTACAAGGAAGTATTTAAAAAAAGAATATTCACTGAGGTAGTTCTTTTGGCATTTTTATGATAATATCTTAATGCTTAAGATAAAAAACCAATTTCATGTACACAAACACAACATATAAATGTTATACACATATCCTATCATACTAAAACTCAGAAAAACTGCTCCTCTAATTGTCTCCACTGCCATTAAGAGAAAAGTTATGGTGTTGATTCAAAGGATCTTAAAGAACAATTAGCTGTTAATGTAAAACTGATTTTCTCGTCGACTCCTCTCCGACACTCAAGATTTCATGATAATAAAGATTAGGATTGCATAATGTAAACGACGTTGAAAGTTATAAGAAAATAGTTTCTCACAGATGGTTCGTTACTACGCAATGATAGTTGGCCAGTTGTTAAGCAACAAACGGCACGATTACATCATCTAGCACGGTTACGCGGTTGTCAACTACAATTTAATCTAATTTCAGTGAAGTGATAGATAGTAGTCAGTTGTAGGAAAGAGTTGACAAGCGATCGCTTACCGACATTAATTTTGATGTATACTAATATCTACAGACCCCGTTTTTGACGGAGCCATGTTTTATGAAATAACTTAGAGCAGCACAAATAATGTTTGATAGTACAGCCATACTACGAAATTAATTGAACTTTATAAGTTTGATCAACATACCTCTAAATAGCGTTCCATCTCTTTTAAAAGTAAAGGATAACGACCCAAACGTTCAAATATAAGAGTGAGTTGTTGCTTACAATGGACCAATTGTAATTTAATATTAAATGAACTCATATATTTTGTTACTTCTGTACTATATCGAAAAAAAATTGAACAAACAAGTATTTCAGTGAGAAGAGGAACGGACCTTAATTACATTAAAGACTTATCGAAAAAAGTACCTTATGTAACCGGCCTTAAGCTGTTGTCCCTTGGGCTTTGCGGTCACGCTCTCAGTTATCTAAGATTTCTCTACTAACCTAGTTTCCATTCGGATCCATCAAGAAATATCCTTCCACGATGTGGGCAACAGGGAATTCATAAGCGCCCCCCATACTCGATACTCTGTTGTCCATGAGCGGACCTCTTTGTCACTTCATAATATTTTTTTATCCCCGATACTAACTCTTGTCCTATAACTCTATCGTTATCTACACGTGCCACCAATAATAAAAATTCGAGTTCACGGAAATGTATTCCTGGTCTTCGAAAACAGAGCTCGAAACTATATGTTGAAGTTTTCATTGTTTGTTTCTCATGTCAATTTGGGCAATAGACTTCAGATGAAAATCGATGTTAGCGGAATATAGATTGTATTAAAGCACGTTCCGTGCATGATTGCGTTGGAACAGGCTGATTGACTATTTCTTATCCAATCAGCGCTAGTCGATACTTGAAATAGAATCTAGAATCTTCTTATGTAAAAATATAAATATACTAACACTTTTCTTATTGTGTTTCCTACTTCCATTTACCAATGTTATTTGGAATATAATTTCGTTCCCGTTCAACTGTGTCCTGATTTGGGGACTTGTCGAGTGAAGTAATGTCAAAGAATACTAAGCAATAGGAGTAGCTGGGTGGTAATAAGAGTAATCATAACACTAGTTTTGTGCTATCGATATATGCTATTTTTCCAAAATACACAAACAAGATCAGAGCTTAGCAATTAGCTTGACCTCACCTACTCAATATAGAAATCTGGTGCGATTTATCCTTCGCGCAGCAGGAGACTTGACTACCACGTTTTATGGCCTCGCTGAAAGCAGAATAGGCTCTCGCAAACTTGATTCCGATAGCCAGTCGCCTGTGTGCGAGAACGTAAGGGAAAGGAGATATAGAGATACAGGCCATTGCTTCGCCGCCATCTACGCCTACGCTCCCACTGACTGCAAATCCGATGAAGTAAAGGATGAGTTTTATAGAGAGCTTTCAATTCTCGATCAAAAAACAATCGCTCAGATATCATAATATTAGCACACGATTTTAATACTTGAATAGATAGTCTAAGCCAACGAGACAATTAAATGGGTCTTACAGTAATCGAGCTAAACGCACAGAAACTGAGAATCATCTGATGAAAATTTGCTTATCCAAATGTTTATTCTTACCAAGTACCGACGTTAAGTATAAAAACAGACACTATTTGAAATGGTGACCTCTACATCCGACTCGATGATGGAATTGAATAAGCTGCACTGTCATCAAGCACAGTTGCAAAATCTCAACAGAACAATCCCATTCATTCTGAAGCACATTTTAAGACTCTGATCATGCTCTAATGTGGGGCAAGTGTCTATTCGCACCTCCCTAGAAGCAGAAACCCCCCAAAAGGAAGACCAATTGGGGTTCCGCTTAACAGTGGAAAAGTTTTAAAAATATCTCCGAAACAACTACAGAAGTAGTAAGTCAATCAGCAAGGCGTTGTAGGCTCAAATTAAATCCAATTAGCTGTAAAAAAACAGAAGTGATATGCTCAAGTGACTTGAACCAAAAGGTTGGGAAAAATCAGTGTATGTCTGTAGCGTTTGTTCAATTGATAAACGCTCGAAAACTCCTCACATCAGACTCAGAAAACGATGAGGAACTAAAACTACTTAAAAACAGAATGACAAAAGGTCTATCCAATGGTCGTGATTGGTCGTTGAAAGCGAAAGCAAACGACATGAAAAAGGCAGACATGATAAACAACAACAGACAACCTTCCTAACTTATAAGTGTTATGATCACTCTTATGGCTTAGTATTCTTCGGACACTACTTCACTTGACAAGTCCCCAGATCAGAACACGGTTGAGTAGGAATGGAATTATATGGCAAATAAACAAGGTTGAATGGGAGTAAGAATTGCAATAAAAATATTCTAAAGTCTTCTCCATCCACCCGCTAGTGCCGATTGACCAAATAATTCAGGTTAAGGCAGCCATTATAGCAGCAGCCTGTGCGGCAGTAAGCCTCAACATACACAATGGAAAAAGCTGGATCCTCAAATACAACACGGAGAACACCAATCCAATCACACTTGGTGGAGAAACTGGAAGATGTGGAATCATTCACGTACCTAGGAAGCATCATCAATGAACGTGGATGACCCGGAGCAGACGTAAAGTCAAGGATTGGCAAAGCAAGGACAGCATTTCTACAGTTGAAGGACATATATAATTCAAAACAAATTTCAAACAATGTCAAAGACAGACTCATCAATACGAAGACCAAGACAGTTCTACTGTATGGAGATGAAACTTGGAGAACTACCATAACCATCATCAAAAAAGTACAAGTATTTACAAACAATTGTTTACGCAATATACTCAATGTCCGTTGGCCGGATACTATCAACAACAAACTATTGTGGAAGAGGAAGAACCAACTTCCAGGTGAAGAAGAAATTAGGAAAAGACTTTGGAAGCGAATAGGGCACACATTGCGGAAATCACCAAACTGCATTCCAAGGCAAGCACTAACTTGGAATCTTCAAAGGAAGTGCAAAAGAGGAAGACTAAAGAACACACTGTATCGAGAATTGGAAGCACATATCGAAAGGACGAATAGCAACTGGAAAGGATTGCCCAGGACAAAGTTAGATGGAGAATACTGGTGGGCTGTCTATGCTCCTCCACGAGGGGTAACAGGACTTCAAAATACTGGTCATATATTTTGGGACTATCGAGTGATTAATGCTGAGGCTAGATGAAGGATAACACGTAAAATTGATGAGGTATATATTCCTAATCGACTGAAACGGTTGTGACTTGTTTTACGTGTACGCAAATACCGCCTATCTCAATGCATACTGGTGGCTGGTGTAGGAGTAGGTTAGAAGAAAGCTAGAGAGAGACAAATCAAGATATGACATCAGTCCATAAGGTCACTGACAGTTGGACTAAGCCGTGTAGGCATTCAATAAACCAGTATTTTCTTCCTAAGTCACATCCTATGTTTCTAATCTTTCGTATTAATACTAATAATGTTACCACCAATAAACGAAATTAGCATCGATCTAATTGATACTAAGGTTTTAAGATTGAGTTTTCCGCAGTTTGGATAGTTTGTTTGCAAAGATCTCGTTATTGTCCAGAACGCTAAAAGAAGGATTGGCAACTAACCCATTCAGCTGAGAGTCAGCTTCACCAAAGCTACAAATGGTATACAATGTTAGTCATAGTGATATAACTGATTGTCTAAGATATACTCCTCACTCTAGAGTGTACTACGATAATGCGTTAATGTGACGATAACACTAGTCACGTTATATCAGATCAAGGATTCACGACCCATAATAAAGAACCAGATACTTTATTCAATACAATTACAAAGGGTTACACTCAGTGAGTCCGGAGTAGAAATAAATGAGAGGAAAGGAAACCAAATATTAAATAGCCAGTAGGCTGTGCCTCTTTGTCTCAACGACCAATCATATTTTACTACCACTACCACACATTACAGTATAAAGTGGCCGCCGTTGCAAACAGGAAAAGTCCAGAGTCTGACGCAACTGTAAACTTCTTCACACAACCCGATAGAAAATGCCTTTTGGATTCGCTTCATACCTGGGTTCGACGACCTCGGCGATTTTAACACTCAGTACTTACGCAAATCATCATAGCACCTCGAGGTATATGGTCACTAACACATATGCTACGTTTCACAGAAAACCTTACTGGAATTTATAATCTCATTAAAAAAAGTTTATCCTTCAACAAAAATCTTATATCTGGCCTTAACAAAGATCATTCGTCAGTAATACAGAATCAATCATATTGACTAAATACCTGGAATTTTTGTGTTGTCTACCCACAACCATGTCACATTGGGTAATGGTATGCATCATAGCAATCTAGTCTTCCCTTAATAGAACGAATATTTAAATAGTGACTAAAAGTTTTTGGTGGAGTTTTGTACTCTGAGCTGGATGGTTTGGTCGTGGAGCTTTCACCGTTCTTCTGAACGACATCATCAGCACACACTTCTATCTGAGGTTTGTGCTGATGATGTCGTTCAGAAGAACGGTGAAAGCTCCACGACCAAACCATCCAGCTCAGAGTACAAAACTCCACCAAAATCATCTACCTGAGCTACAAATCTTCTCCACCATCTCAGTGACTATAAGTCTTAGAAACTTACAAGACTTGTAGGATGGAAAATTAATTTAAGTGATTAAGATAATAACTTACATATGCTCTTCTAATCCTGTTATAACATGTAAATAAATTTTTGAATAATCACACCCGACTGCGTTAATTGCTGGAGCAAAATCTAAAAATAGCCGACCCATACATTTCGGTCCATGTGTACTATTGGGAAAAAAATATCCATGAGTAATAAAAGATAAATATGTATTCAAAAGAATGACGAACAAACCTACCATTTCATTTCTGTTAAAGCCGAGGCCAAATGTTGATGTATACTAATTATTTGAAATAATATGTCTCTTAAATTGACGAGTTTGTTCAAGAATGATCTACAAAAGAGAGTTGATCGTATTAAGTACATGAAATTACAAGTGAAGTAGAGGCTCCAGGTTAATCATAAATACTGACAATAACTGAGATAGTTCACTAACTTGTCTTAATTCACCTTCTAAAACATGTTGTATAATCTTATGAAGATAGATTCGAATAAACAGGTAGATAATACATTCGATTTCTCACCTCGTTTTGAAAGTTTTGTAAGTGCATCAACGAACCTTCATCAGTAGTGGGATTACCCTTCTCATCTACAAGTAAATTTATTAGTGATAGAAAAATACCTGGACTGGTAGCATATGTCACATAGTTACTAGGAAACCAGCCAACGAATCCATTCAAACTACCTTCCCACCAACCACCCTCTAATTGTTTCAAAACTCTTAGTACGTCGCCTTTTTTAAATGAAAGCTATCAGCAAAATAAAAAGTATGAGTAAGATTAAAAGGAAATAAGATGAGGTTATAGCAAAAACATCTGAAATAATGAATGAATGGATAGATAGAGTTCAGATTTTAATCATTCAACTTTCTGCCACTGGGTGGAAAGTTAGAAACTCGCTTCATTGACTTAATAACGTTTAGTAGTATTATAATGAACGAGAACACAGGTGGGGACGACCAGTGCATTTTAATACAAAACTACAGAATCTCCTGGTAAAATATGAGAACTATACATTGAATACTTGATTTGCAAAATTCCATCATTTGTCCTTCAAATTCTGTAATTCTTCCAAGTCATAATTTCTTTTCTATTTTCGTTTCTGTTTTCTTCAAGTCGACCGTCATAGCCTTCTGCTGCCATGCATTACTCTTCTGATTGGTGTTACATACTGCTTATATTTGTCGATATAAGTAGCATAAACTACAGTAATTCTAGACCTCAAAATGTAGATATCAATCATTATTTTACATAATAAACAATGGATAAATACATGTGTTGATGCTTAAATGTAATTAACAATCACATAATTGATCAGTTGGTATGCAAAATGATGGAATTGGACAAAGTTAATAGCAACCTAGTAACTAGTGAGAAAAGATTTTACAAGACATGAATTACGAATATGGTCAGATTTAATTTCGTTGTACCCTATTTAGGCCTTGTATGTGTATTTTTATTCAAACGACAGATAGTTAACTGCCAAATAGGTGGACTGGGGAATATGTTCTAGTCCTATGGTTATAAAATTAACGGTGCTTATGTTAAAAAATGGCATCAGTCCAACAGATTAATGTTTTGGTTTCAACAATGAAAGATATTCAGTATCCTCCATAAGAGTATGGAAGACAAATGAAGTCAAGTGATTGTTGGTCTACCATGATACTGCATCTCCTAACGTTGCTGCACTGCCTTGTGTATTAGACCTTTAGGTCGAAGGCTCCGGATGAGGCCCTCTAAGAAGACCACCAGCATTGGTTCTGGCACCCAGGCAATATCACAGCCCTCACACAAATCAAGTGAGTTGTATGACGCATATGTATTCGGTGCCCCTTTGTACCAATATGTGTTCAAATAAATAAATATAAATAAATAATCACAGCAACAATGGACCTAGCTACCACAAAATTTGGATTAGGATGCACTAATCGCTGATTTTAACCAGTCTATTTCTTCGTTGCTCCCTGTTAGCGGGACAGAGACTAGATTAAAGCATGCTCAATGCATGATTGTTTTGGTGCACGCTGATTGGCTGATTCTTATCCAATCAGCACTAGTCGATAGTCGGAGAATACTCTGGAATCTTCTTATGTAAAAACTGTAAATATACCAACGTTTTCCCCTATTGTGCTTCCTACTGGCTTCTGACTTGCTATTTGGAATATAATCTCTTTCCTGTTCAACCGTGTTCTGATTTGGGGACTTGTCGAGTGAATCGGTGTCCAAGAATACTAAGTAATAGGAATAGCTGGGTCATAACCGTAAGTAAGAAGAAAGAGATTATAACACTCCCTAATCTTACTAGGAGTAGGAATGTGTGCATGTGATCTTCAGTGCTTAGTTAGAGACTCGCTTTTAGTGTTTGAGTCGTGGCCTCTGCAGCACACATTCATTGCCTGGTATCGTCCCTGGTTTTATTATAAGCTTGTGGTTAGCTATAGGGATTTTCGACTTATTACTAGTCCCTGAATTAAGACCTCTATTAACTGTCTTTGTGGCTATAGTGTTAGTAGCAGTGGCAACGCTAATACTGTGCATGTTACTAAATAGACTGAGTTAGATGTAAGAAAATTTAAGGATGTACACGATGTAAGGTTGTAAAGGGAAAAATAATAAAAATAAGTGAATATATGCTACACAAGAATAAAGTCTGAAAAACACTTAAAATTGCAATGTCACCACCTTTCGACGTTCTAATGAGTAATTTCGCGTAGGTTCAGTAACACCCCCAAGTGAACGAACGTGTGTATGTTGCGGTTGCAATTACTAGTCAGTCAGTCAGCTACAACGTAGGATTATGCACATATTACACACAAGTTGCTCCCGAATGCCCTGGTACGGCCGAGAGTGAGGTGAGTCCGCTCTCCCTCTCGAAATACTCTCATACGGCCGCGCGTATACAGCCTATGCCAGGGAAGTCCTACTCATTGCCTTCTCGTGGCGGGGGTGTTGTTTACGAAAATGAGAGGACGAAAAACGAATGTCCGGCGCTTTAACCGGATACCAAATCAATGGTGCACATGGGCTCCAGTATCGTGCGGGAACAAATGGCGTATGAACCAATCGTTGGTCACCGGCTACCATGGGATTGGATCTCCTTACGATGCTCCACTGCCTTGTGGGTTAGACCTTTAGGTCAAAGGCTCAGGGAGTGGACCCCTAAGATAACCACCTGCTTCGGTTTGGGCACCCGGGCAGTATCACAGCCTACTCACAAACGATGAACTCTATGTCTATGGCAACTACTTTTCTCGCTCCGAAAAACAATCAGTCGATTCAAATAATTATCATTACTATTATTGTCATTATTAATACTATTATTACTATTATTGTCATTATTATTATTATTATTTTCCACATTATTCACCCTCTTTTATACTTATACAGCGGCTCGTCTTTGGTGGAAATTCGACTCTATCTAAACGTTCTCGAGTCACTGTCCGGTTGAAAATTGTATGTTACCACCGAATATGACTACTGAAGCAGTTTTTCTGAAACCACGTGCACCATTCAAACTGGCTGCCTTCAAAGTTCGCACACTTATGCAGGTCGGACAACAGATAGGGCTCACCCTGGATGGTGAGCAGATAGACGTAGTCGAGAAGTTCGTGTATTTGGGTAGCTGCATAAGTGCTGGTGGGGGTGTGAGTGATGAGATCAATACACGTATAGTGAAAGCCAGAGCGGCTGATGCCAATCTGGGCCACCTTTGGCGCCTTCGTGATGTTAGTCTGGCCGTAAAAGGTCGGATCTACGACGCGTCGGTGAGAGCAATTTTGCTCTATGCTTGTGAAACCTGGTCTCTCCGAGTCGAGGACGTTAGACGACTCTCTGTGTTCGATCATCGTTGTCTCCGAAGGATTGCTGACATTCAGTGGCAACACCATGTCAGTAATGCAGAGGTTCGGCATCGTGTGTTCGAACACAGAGATGATAATTCAATTGGTGTCACCATCTTGAAACACCGACTTCGGTGGCTTGGACATGTTCTACGAATGTCGTTCCAGAGGATTCCACGTCGTGCATTGTTTGCCGACGCTGGGACTGGTTGGAAGAAGCGGAGAGGTGGTCAGTGCATGACATGGTGTCGTGGCATGAAAGAAAGCTGCAAAGTACTGGCTTGTGTTGGTCCTTTACGACTCCCTGGTTGGGGTCCGAGAGATGGTGCTACACAGTGGCTAGAGACGTTATCAGATATGGCTCAGAATAGAAGCCAGTGGCGATCCTGCTGTAACCTTCTTCTACTTTCTTCAAAAAAGGTGGTTGTGTCTCCTGAAAGATTTCTTCTGATTGTACCTTTCCGTTCCCCCATTATGACTATGATTATTACTACACTCCCTTACACCAATCTCTTCGTTATTGTTTTTTTTACGTTCCTTATTTTTTTCTTAAATTCTCATTGTTTTGTGTGGCGCATATATATTTGGCTCACTCCTGTACCAATATATATGTGTTCAAATAAATAAATAAATAAATAATAACTAACATAGCTAGGACCAGAAGTTAGTGACTTCAAGCACTGATGCCACGTTTTGGTTTGGTCGACCTTAACTTTCTTCCAACTATCCCCAACACTGGTCAGCATTATGCGTCGTGGTAATCGGTGTTCAGGCATGCGTAACACGTGGTCCAACCATCTCAGTGGACGTACATTTACAACCTCGTCAATTGATTTACCATAAGTCCCTAATACTTGCGTTTAACCTCACTATTACATAACCGGTGATCCCAGCAGATGCGAGCAATATTTCCAAGACATCTGTGGTCGAATACTAGTAACTTACGAATATCTTCTACCCTGAATGGCCACATTTCTCAGCCTTAAATTAGAACAGAACGAACTACCGCGCAGTATACTCGTCCCTTAATTGATAGACGGATATTTCGCCTTCGACAACGGGCACGTAAGTTGATAAAAGCCAAACGAGGTTTCTGAATCCGTGCAGAGATTTCGTCAGACACCAACCCATTGGGGTCGATCAGACTTCCAAGATAAGTGGAGTTTTCGACACATCCGACTAGTTCACTCCCTATCCTTGGTTCAGGTGTTAAAGCAGGCCATTCATTTAGGGGAGGAGCGCACTCCAAGCGTCTTGACATCGTTGCTCAGTGTCATCAAAAGATTCAGAATTTTATTAGCGTCTTCACCAAACTAGGCGTTAAAAAATTACTATAGAACTTTAAAGCCTAGCTCTCGAATAGTAAAAAAGCTGAGCAAAAATAAAACCACTAACCTCATCGGTATGTTGACGGTTATAATCATACAAAGCACAAACAAGCATCTGCTTTTGTGACATTTATAAAGTAACATTGAGATGCCGATAAATTAAAAATAGGCTTCGTCTACATCCAGAAGTTTGGAAGACCATTATGTAGCGGATCGCATCAGGTCAGGAGGTACTTTGTGTACTAGTGGGGCATGCAGAGTAACGTCAGGAGGACTGGAAAATAGAACAGACAAGGTGATTTGACGACCTGGAGAGCGCACAAAATTTGCTCACACTTATTACAAATATTCAATATGTGACTTACCGTTCTTGCGTTGACCGCTACTGACCTACACTGCCTTCAATAGCCAATGTGGACTTTCATAGTCAGTGTATGAATTGCTTTAAAAATGATTTGAGGTGATATTTCAGCACTATCTCGTTGTCATTACAATTTCTCCAGTTGCAATGACTTCATTCTCATTGATACTAGCTCGGGAGTTAGGTTGCATCTCAAAACCACCTGATACAAAAGTAACAGTATTTCAGATAGAGATTTTGTGTTGTAAGGACAGAAGGCCTACAGCCTTTGCTATTCATTGTCTAGTATGTTTCTGTGAGTGTCCAGTCTTCTATTGAAACAGTCAATTGAAGATGTGAACACCACAGTTTCGGGCAACAGGTTCCAAGAATTGACGACTCAGTTTGAAAACCTGTATGCCACCGGTATTTTGTTCGTTTTTGGCTTTTCTACTCGCCTACTTCGTCCTCTGAGATGTGGGAAGAAAAATAGAAGGTAGATAAGGTCCGAAATTATTTCATGGTATTCTATACATTAAAATTAGATCACCTCTTAGTCTGTGATACGACTGAGTATGGTAAACCCCGGAGTTATGGAACTGCAGGAATAGCTGCTCTCTGTACGTCTTCCAGGACATCCGAATCTCTCTTTAAACAGAAGCCTGCAGCCTCGATGCAGTTCTAAAGCCTATTTCTCACTAAGGTTGTGCATACTGTATTGAACATGATAATATCTAACTTAGTAAATATCCGTCTTAAAGCTTAGAGGGTTCTAAACCCCTTAGCTGCGATCTTCCAGTAATGAGCAGTGACTTACTGTCACCCAAAGATCCTTTTTAGACCGGACCACGGGTACTGGCACTTTTCCCATACTGTAGGCACACTTGGGTGCGTTCGTAGACATTAGCTACCCTTCAGACTAGCGAATCAGAATATCTAAGTCTACCTGAAATTCCCATGCGTCGGAGTCTCCTGTTATTTCTCGCTAGATGTTTCACATCATCAGAGTATAGTAGCGTTGGAGACTCAACTATACTTGGGAGTTCATTTATATACAGTTTAAAAAATAAATGACCTAGGACCGAGCATTGTGATATTCCACCAAGTCTCCAGGTGGAGCACTTCGAATTGACTCTTACTTTCTGTCTAAGACCCACGATGAAATCCTTAATCCATTTTGGGAGAGGTCTGCCAATGCTATGATCTTCCAGCTCCAAAAGCAGCCTATTTGTTGTTACCTTATCAAATGCCTTGCTGAAGTCTATGCAAACAACATCCACTGGTTCTCCATTATCTAAAGCCTCTATCTCTAGCTCCCTTGTTATAAGGAGGTTCGGTGTGCAAGAAAAACTTTTTCTAAAACCAAGTTGTTCACTGAGAATAAATAACCACTGTTTAACAAGTTGTTGTTTTCCACGAATGTCATTATGGTCATTTTGACCCACCATTTTAACTATGACACTGTTGAAGATGACTGGTCTGTAGTTTGATGGAAGTTGTCTTGGTCCTGTTCTATGTATCGGAAAGACAATAGCATCCTTCTAGTCTGTAGGTAACACACCTTGGCTAAACGGCACACTGAATAATGCGATCAGTGGGGCTCCAATATATTGTGCAATTTCTCTAAGGATTTTAGGATGTAATTCATCTGGTTCCGCTGACTTTTCCATGTTTGTGTCGAGAGCCTTAAGTAAATCGTCTCGGTCAAAGTCCACGGTTAGCAGGTGGTTTGTTGACTGTGTATTTTGGTCTAGTTCTTTGTCTAGAAGAAGTTCCTGAGTGAAAATGCCCCAAAATAGTTGCTCATAGCCTCTGCTTTATCTTGATCTATCATTTCAGATTCACTCTCTTCTTTAATTAGGTTTGGAATCCAACGATGCATCTTTTTTCTGTAATTTCTGCATGTAGCACACCATTAACTCTGTGGAGAACTTTCCCTTACCACTCAGAGTGGTATGGGGATATATCCATTAGGTCATTGATCTCAGGAGACATTCCTGAGTACCTCGTATTTTTTTTACTAGCTTAGTATGGGTATGTTTTTTATAGTTTCGCACACTAGAATTTCATCTACTTCTGGATGTGTAATAAGAATTGGGTAAGAATCCTGTACAATAAGCTCATCTTTCCCTCGATGCTCTCCTGCTTTTCTTAAGCGGAGGCTCTGTGACTCATCTCGGACCGGTTGTTCTCTCTTTAGAGGAGTTTTAGAGAGTAAGAGGCGCTATTCGAAATGCCCTATAGATAATATACTTTACTATTTTCCAATGATTGTTGAAAGTCAGTATCAACCAATCTTGTGACGACGGGGCATTTTGGTGAGGCACACTCGTTCCCATGCAGTTTGGCCTACTGTAGCGAATTGAGGCAGAATTATACTTCCTCTGTGGTATCTCGTTTATAACCTAAATTAAAGTGATTAAACATTGGTCACTACCCGTTGCTGACGTTCAACAATGGAATCCTTTGACTACATGCTGATCATTTGACAGTAAAATAGAGTCTTAGTAATTTCTCGCCCTTCCAAACCCTTGAGGTTAGTTAAACGTTTAGTCAGTCGTAAACTTTTAATGCGACGGTTGTGTAGTTTGATTATGAGAAAACTTTGACATTTGAGGGCTTTTTTATGTCATTTGACTTTTTTACTGTTCCGCTTACTGAACTTAAAAAACTCAAACACAAAAGCTATGAGTAATATGCTTCTCTTCCGTTTAATTTTCTTTATAGCACCCCTTTACGTGGTATATATATAGACTGATTTATATAAGAAGAACAGTACTCACCTACCTTGAAGGGACAACATAGTGTTACTATCGGTCTTAAACAGTATGACCGAAATCAGGGCATCTGACATTTTTAGTGATAGAATGAAATGGCAACATTAACAATGTTGGTACATTTCTGTTACGAAGTTCGTTTAGCGAAATTGACAAAACTCAAACAGCTGACTCCCGTCACGTGAGCGGTTGCTTAGTATACTTCCCCAATGACGAAGATGCAAAAAACCTTTGTGGTACAAATGAACGAACTGATTGTTCGAGGAGGCTTCAAGTTTAAAAAGTAGATAACTAACTCAATTCCGATAAGAGAAGTTTTTCCGCAATCCGATAGTATGGAAACGTTAGTTGATATACCTTTGAATCAAGGATCCTTTCTCTGAGCCTTTGAGATTGAGTGGTACACCATACAGGATGTTTTCAAACTTTGATTTGGATCATGAAGAAAACACTCTGGTTGGGAAAAGAGCAATGTTCACCGTTTCATCCATTTTCGATCCAATAGACCTAATTGCTCTAATATATCTTCCTGCTAAGCAACTCTTACAGAACTTTTGTAAGTCACATTGGTTGAGACCAGTCACTTAATGCTAATGTTTTATCCTCGTGGATCGATTGAGTTACATTTGTGTTTTCTATGTCTCCGAAACAAGTCTCGGTGTGGTGGCCTACTTGTGAAACATACGTAGGCGCAAACTTTCTACAGCGTTCTTCTCTGTAGAACGGCTGAGGTCGCCAATAACTGTGACTAGAGCCGGCATGAATATTGAGTACCCGAGTTACTGAAGTATTGAACAGAAATCTTTCACATATGTCTCATAAGATTAACTTTTGTACGTGTCCTATGATGTTTTTGTACTATGTGAAAAATACAGAGAGCAGGTATTCCACCCTTGTCGATAGTCGTCTAGACGCTACTCACCGGTTAACGCCTGTGGGCCAATGAAGACACGTGGGATCCAATCAAAATCCTGCTGAGATAACGTCCACAAGTGTGGGCTACATAACGGTTGATTACTTGATGTAACCAGACGTAACGTTCCAGTTTTAGGGCGAAAGGGAGAATATAGGAAAGCTGCGAAAGCTTTATCTACTGAAGGGAGTCAAATAACTGCAGAGTGTATATTCTGTTTCGGGTGTGCGGGCGTGCTGTTGTAGGTCCTATGTTTCACACTGATATAGAGTATATGAGTATAAGCAGCACCTCTCTCTGCTGATCTCAACATTTAGATGGTCCTATCTTCGTATAGTGTTGCTTTGGACGTTGGAGAACTGTCCTCAAGTTGGCATTACGCCATACGAGTGTGCCGTTATGCACAATAATGTTATCAACGTATATTAGGCAGTTGTGTGGTTCCATGCAGTGTAAAACTCTCTGTGTTAATAGTTTTAGGATGGCTGGGGTATCAGTTAATCCTAAAGGCATCTGAAATTTGCAAAGCCCATTTGATACGACAAACATATTCCCATCACAATGGGTTTTGTGGAGATTTTTAGAAACTTTACTGGTTGAAATCATGAGTCAATTGAAGCTAGACCATCATGGAAAACCTGGAAGCACTGGACGGCCGTTTCGCTCTAGTATGGGACACATCCACAATCCCGCATCCCGCGAGATTCCAACCCAGGAACTGTCAGTCTCGCGCCAGGCGCTTAACCAACTAGACTACTGTCAGGGCAGATACAGGTAGTTTTTACAGGTATGATCTGCAAATTACAACATTAGATTGTTTACAGCATACTTCCCAAGTAGTGTCATTAAATGAAGTTTCCATACATGTGCCCTCAGAGCAAGATTCTGAAAAAAAGCAAAGCAAACGAGCAGCAAGGCACTTGGATATGAACGCTTAACAATGCTTAACATTTTATAGTGGAGCAGACAGATGTATAATAAATTAGTAGATTAAACTCGTGCTAGTCATTGTTCCAAGATCTAAAGTCGAAAACCAGCAACAGCCTCCCATGGCATGAGGAGGAAGAATTTATACGCAACGTTTCCATGTCAACCTAATGTATCACCCGGTGCAACAACGGTCATGTCTGAGTTCATGTAATCATAGAATTTGTCATTTTATAATGTATTCTTTATAAAATAACTAGATTATGCTGTGAATTCTGCTCTGGCTGTAATTTTATGGCCAAAACAGCAAACACACACTACTCAATGGTAGCAGATTTCCGGCATTTCAATGTTAAGCTTGCTTTCACTCACGACGTAATGAGTAAATCCCCCCTTTTACTGCCTTATGGTATATTTTTCAATAACAAACGAGTTCGACCATATGATAG